CTATAAATACTACACATTTGGCCCATATGCCAAATTGAGTTTATGATGTTTTTGTGTAAGCAAAGGACATTTTGAGAAACTTGTTTGAAAAGGATATGCAGCAGAGACCATAGGTAGCATGCAAAGCCTAGTATTGGTCCTTTACAGAAAACATTTGCCAGTCTCTGGTGTATGTTAATAGGGATCCTTTTTCTTTCTTATTTCTTTTTTTTTTTTTTTTCAAGTACCACAGTCTAATCCCAGGGCTTTCTTGCTGAGCTATGTCCCTCAGCTGCTTTTTAACTTTTTAAAATTTTGAGACATGGTCACACTAATTCACAAAGTTGCCCGGGCTAGCATCAAACCTGCCATCTTCTTGCCTCAGTCTCCCAGAATACTGGGTTTACAGGCATGCGAGCGTGTATTCTGTTCCAGTCACACTTATTTCCTTACTCCCACCTACCCACATCACAGGTTTCCAGCTCCAACCTGTTTATTTAATATATAAAATGAGCACATATCACTAAGACCCTTCTTCCATCTTGAAACCATTTTTTTTCACCATATGAATAATATGTGTGTTTATCATTTTAGGATTTGGTGATGTTCAGAGATGTGACTGTAGACTTTTCTCAAGAAGAATGGGAATGCCTGAACACCTATCAGAGAAATTTGTACAGAGATGTGGTATTAGAGAACTATAGCAACTTGGTGTCACTGGGTAAGCTTATTGGTATCAAATTTAGAAATGTATAAGACTTCATGTCAGGGCTCTCTTAAAAACTATCTGAATATCTCTGTGGTTTGGGAATAGACACCTCTATTAAGTATTTTAATTTCCTGCCATAATTCAGTGATCTTTACAACTTGCTTTGTTTCTTAATACCTTTTTAATGACCCCTGAGTGTAAAAATCTTGGATACAGCAAAACTATTGCTAAGCACTCTGATATCACTGCAAGAAATAGTCCATGTTATTCATGGACTCGCCTGCAGTAAGACTAGGAAGAGAGATTTTGACTCTGCTTACCTCATAAGAGGTAATGATGTGGGCTGTGGATGTAGTTCAGTGATGCTACTCTTACCTCTCAGGCCTAAACTCTATTCCTGGTACCTCCCCCGCAAAAGGTAATGATGTATATGATGCTGGGTCAAATAAAATTAGTTAAAACTCAAGTGTTTTAGTTTCCTAAAACAAACATATTCTCTCTCTCTTTTTTTTTTTTTTTTGGTACCAGGGATTGAACTTGGGTCCTTGCGCTTGCAAGGCAGGCCACCGAACCGCTGAGCTAAATCCCCGGCTCAAACATATTCTCTTTTAACTGCTTTGTGATTAAAAGTGTAAGATATGTAAAATTTGCATTTAACACTAGACAAATAGCCTGGCAAGAAACTGAGAAAGCAGGTTCAGAGAGATGAAATTATTTACCCTAGTGACCCAGGTGTCAGAGACAGGAATTGTAACCTGTATTCTAACTGTTACTTCCCTCTCGAAGGACAGAGCCTGTAATGAGTTTAAATTAAATAAGACCATGTCCCTACCTCTTGGTTCTTATTTTTCTTTATGATCCTAAAGTTATTCTTTTTTTTTTTTTTTGGATACCAGGGATTGAATTTGGGACCTTTCACCTGCAAGGCAGATGGCGGAAACACTGAGCTAAATCCCCAGCCCCCTAAAATTATTCTAATTTGAATGTTTTTCAATCCTGATAGCCTTCTTTGTTTGGAAGACTTGATCAAATAAATTTTTTCTTTGCTATGTACTTTTCTTTCAAGCAGGCTGTTCCATTACTAAACCAGATGTGATTACCCTATTGGAACAAGGGAAAGAGCCCTGGATGATTGTGCAGAATGAGAAAAGAAGGTGGAGTTTAGGTAAGCAAATGTTGGTGAGGCACAGGTAAACTGCTGTAATTTGTGCTGTTTTCTCACACATATTTCAGTGCTTAGTTATGATTTTGACTATGACTTTCCTAGTAGAGTATTAATTTTAAATCTTTAATCCGCAAGTAAATCCTGAAATTACCCTCTTAATTCCTAGTGTTTATACTTTCATATCTGCCTGCTTATTTATCACTGTTATTTAGCAAATGATATCATTTATATTTCACTTGTCCTATGAAGGCTCTAATTTAACTATCTCCCAGAAATTCTACAAAAATTGCTATAGTTTTTAAATTGCTTTCTTGAGTGGGGAGACAGACACAGATAGAGAAGCACCCATAGATTTCATAGCAGTGTTTTCTGTACCGTTCATTTACCTGTCTTTGCTTACATTTTATCTACACTATTTAAATCATTTCCTTTTAATGTCTTTAGTATATATATTTTTTGTTGCTTGTTTTTTTGAGACTCAGGCTGACCGTGAACTCACTGTATAGTCCAGGCTGTCCTTGAACTCATGATACACCTGCCTCAGCCTCCCATAAGCGTCCAACACTACACCCAGGTTGGATATATCTTTTTAAAAGTAAATGTATTGACACAATAATGAATGTAACTGTACTGTATACATAAAATGTACCAATAAACTCAATAAGAGAAAAAAAGTAAATGTATTGAAATATACACACAAAAATACACATATCATTAGTGTGCCACTTAATGAATTTTCATAAAGTAAACATATGTATCTAATTAGCCGATAGATTTAGAAATAGAACTTTACCCCTTCCTGACTCCTTCCAGTCATTTCTCTGCTTCATGGTTAATCACTATTCTGACCTTAATAACACTGTAAGTTAAACGAACTATTTTTAAACTTTATAAAAATGGAATCATACAGTATATATTGTATTTCTGGCTTTGTTTACTCACTAGTATATTTGTGAAATTTATTCTTGTGGCTGCATGTGGTGTAGATTGTTCATTCTAACTGTTGTATACTGTTGTATTAATAAGCCATAATTTACTTAGCCACTCTTCTGTGGATAAGCACTTAGATTGTTTCTGGATTGGGCATTTACAAATACTGTTGTTAGATTATAGATTTTTAAAAATAGCTTTTTCTGCCGGGGATTTAGCTCAGCGGTTCGGTGGCCTGCCTCGCAAGCACAAGGACCTGAGTCCGATCCCCGGTACCCCAAAAAAAATTTTTAAAAAATACCTTTTTCTTTTTAAAACATTGAACACCTATCACAATTTTTTTTTTTTGGTACCAGGTATCAAACTCAGGTCCTCTGTGCTTGCGAGGCAGGGCGATGTCTGTGACAAAATTCTAACAAAATATACATCTGAGAAAAACATCTCTTTGCTTAAAATTTTACTAGCCTTTTAGTATGGTATAAACCTGTTATTAAAAATGCTCAGATACCATCTAGATGCTGCTAGCTATGAGGACTTTAGGGAAGATATGAGGAAAGAAATGGAAGGACAAATGGGTTGAATATTTGTGACAGAGATGTGTATAGTTAAACTCAAGTCAAGATAAATAGGTAGTGCATCTCATGACCTGGTTATAAAGAGGGAACAAAGTTTAGTCACTAATACACAGAGTAGGGATTGAGCGGCAGTGGAGATTTCTGCACATATATGTAGAGAGGCAACTGGAAGAATAGTTCAAAGAAATCACCAATTTCCATGTATATATTTCACTGAGATAGCTTAATGTGTTGTTGTTTCCCATTTATCTAGGAAATGATAAAAAGAGAGTAATCAATGTGAGAAGTTTTAGGATTGGGGTGAGGGCAGCATATTCAATAATAGCTAATTATGAGAATTTATTGAGTAACAGTTACTATACACTACTGGTTTGTTTTTCAGTAGAAAGTAAAAATTTGTTTCTTCCTTTGGGAAGTTTAAGGTAAGAAAGTAAAGATAATAACAGAGGAAGGGCTGGGGATTTAGCTCAGCGGCGCCATGCCTGCCTGGCAAGTGCAAGGTCCTGAGTTTGATTCCTGGTACCAGAAAAAAAGAATAATAAATGAAGAAAATCATTAGTAACAACAAAATTGAGAAAATTGCCAAGCAAAGAACAAGTAACTAGGATAGAAAGTAATGGGTATGAATTAGATGAAATCAGCAGGGTGTTTTTTTTTTTTTCTGATCGTTAAGATGATATGTGACTGACGAAAGGAATCCAATCATGTAAACTCATGTCCAGATTCTTGGGAGATAATACAGCCAATACAAATCTCTTAAGAAATGAAGATTGTGACATATTCTAGGATATGAAAGGAGCGAGCAAAGGGGACCGTGGCTTAAGTTATATGGTAAACAGAAGCCATGTGATTAATGGTAAAGGGTTTGCACTTTATTCTGATTAATTAGACAAATCATTAGAAAATTTAAGTGAGGATTATCAAACTGTGATCTGAATCAAAGCAATCTGGTCTTCACTCATTATACCGTTTATTCCCTTTAGCTTTTTTCTAAATTACATAATTTATTGTGAGTTTTTTAGCCCATTTATGTCAGCTGGGCTCTATTTTCTGGGTTTTTTTTGCGGGGGGTACCAGGGATTGAACTCAGGTCCTTGCGCTTGCAAGGCAGGCCACCGAACCACTGAGCTAAATCCCTGGCCCTATTTTCTGTTGTTTTTGTTTTCTTTTGTGTGTGTGTGTGTGTGTGTGTGTGTGTGTGTGTGGTACTGGGGATCAAACTCGGGCCCTTGTGCCTTCAAGGCGGGCAGCAGAACTACTGAGCCAAATCCCCGGCCCTGTTGTTTTTTGTTTTCTAATATAAAGGTTTTATTTGTTTGTTTATTTCATTTAGAATAAGAAAATATCATGTGTTTATCTTGTTTTCTTTCAGATTTGGAACCCAGGTATGACACTAACAAGTTATTTGAAGAAAACAATATTTATGAAATCAATTTATCTCATTGGGAAATAATGGAAAGAATCAAAAGTTGTGGGCTTGAAGACTCTTTTTTCAGAAAAGACTGTGAATATAAAATGTTTGAGGGACAAGAGGGTCCTCACAAGGTATACTTCAGGCAAGTGACAAAAAGTATCCCTGAAAAAATACCCACTTACAAAAAACTCTCAACCTTTGCTTTATATCAAAAAACTCAAAATAGAGAAAAACCCTATGAATGTGCAGATTGTGGGAAGGCTTTTAGAGTACGCCAACAGCTTACTTTCCATCAGAGAATCCATACTGGTGAGAAACCCTATGAATGTAAAGAATGTGGAAAAACCTTTCGACAGTGTGCCCACCTTAGTCGACATCAGAGAATTCATACATCTGACAAACTTTATGAGTGTAAAAAATGTGGGAAGATCTTTATGTGTAGCTCAGACCTTCGCATACATCAAAGAATTCATGTTGGTGAGAAGCCGTATATATGTAAAGAATGTGGGAAGGCCTTCAGAGTGCGAGGACAACTTAATCTCCACCAAAGGATTCACACTGGTGAGAAACCCTATGAGTGTAAGGAGTGCGGCAAGACTTTTAGACAGTACGCACACCTGACTCGACATCAGAGACTTAACATTGCTGAGAAGTGCTATGAGTGTAAGGAATGTGGTCAGGCTTTCCTGTGTAGTACAGGCCTTCGAGTCCATCACAAGCTTCACACTGGCGAGAAACCCTACGACTGTAAGGAGTGCGGAAAGGCCTTTAGAGTGCGGCAGCAACTTACTCTTCATCAGAGAATCCACACTGGTGAGAAGCCCTATGATTGTAAGGAATGTGGGAAGACCTTTAGTCGTGGCTACCATCTAACTCTCCACCAGCGAATCCACACTGGTGAGAAGCCGTATGAATGTAAGGAATGTCAGAAGTTCTTTCGTCGTTACTCAGAACTTATTTCTCATCAAGGTATTCATATTGGAGAGAAACCTTATGACTGTAAGGAATGTGGGAAGGCCTTTAGGCTGTTCTCACAACTTACTCAACATCAGAGCATCCATTTTGGTGAGAAACCCTATAAATGTAAGGAATGTGAGAAGACGTTTAGACTTCTCTCACAGCTTACTCAGCACCAAAGCATTCATACTGGTGAGAAACCTTATGACTGTAAAGAATGTGGAAAAGCCTTCAGGCTTCATTCATCACTTATTCAACATCAGAGGATTCATTCTGGTGAGAAGCCATACAAATGTAAGGAGTGTAAGAAAGCATTTAGACAGCATTCACACCTTACTTACCATCAGCGGATTCATAATGTAACTTAATAAATAAAAGGCAGATCATTTAGCCTGTATTTCCTGTATCAACTTTATTTACTGGTAACCAGAAGTTGATGATGAAGGGTTTGATAGAGAATTCCAGCAAATAAATGCAGCAAAAAATTACAGATTAGAAAACTCTACTAGAAAAAACATTTTATAATTACGTATCTAGGGACGAATCTCCGTAGAGATTAAGGTCATGAGTGACAGATTGACTTGAACTTTATACCAAATAGATCAGGCTAGCAACATCTGAACTCACATATCACCCTCAACCTCACAAACTAGGACCATAAAATATGTGCCTCCTAATGTCATAAAGTGCAGTGTACACTTGTCATAGTATTGAACCTGAATTTAAATCTGAATATCTGACTCCCAGTTTAGAGAAAAGGAATGGAAAAACAAATTACATGACACAATAATCTAAAATGTAAGTAATTCTGCAAGAGGAATGAAATGGCCTCCAGTGAATAAAACGACATAGAAAAAAGAGGTGGAACTCTTTTTTTTATTTTTATTTTTTTGGTACCATGGATCGAACTCAGGACCTTGTGGTGCTTGTGAGGCAGGTGTGGTGCCACTGAGCTAAATCCCTGGCCCAAGAGGTGGAACTCTTAAGAGACTTATTAATCACATACCATGGGAGAGTGGTTCTTATTTAGATCATAAGTTGAATGACCATTTAAAGCAAGACATTTTTACAACAACTAGGAAAATGGGAACATTGATAGCTTTAGGTAATGTTAAGAAACTGTGTTTGTTACGTGTGGGTAATAGCACTGTAGTCATGTAAAAATGTCTGTTAGAGATAAATTCTGAAGTTTACACACAGAAGATGATATGATGTCTAGAATGTCCTTTAAAATGCTCATGCAAAAGAAGTGAAAGTAGATAATTTAAGTTTGGCAAAGTGATGGTAAACTGAGTCTTGAATACATGGTTTTTGTTTTGTGATTCTTTTGTGAATTTTTATGTGTTTGAAAATTTCCATAATGTTCTTCTAAAGGTAAAATTAACTATGAAACTATAACCAGGTGGAAGTGAATGACCTTAAAATGCTTATATATTAAAAATTATGGAAGTTGCTAGTGCTCTACACATTGGAATCTTAAATACACTATAATGTATACAGGATGTTAAGATGGATGGTTCGGATTTTTTTGTTCACCTCAACACTATTAACCTGTCCCATTGTAGGCACTTCCTATGTTTAAAAATGAATAAAGAACGCAGTTACTATACTCATGTGTGAAAATTAATGGATTAGACCTGCACTGTTTTTTATGAAGTCTCTATCGTATGTTCACTACTTAAAATCAAGGTACTGAATACTTGCAGTGTGGCCACATAGCATCACATTGGTTACCTTCAAAGCCAGGCATGGTAGTGCACATCACATACTGTTAAAGAGTGGTTCTTATTTAGATCATGAGTTGAATGCTGTAGTCTCTGCACCCAGGTAGCTGAGTCAGGAGGGTCATCATGAGTTTAAGGTCAACCTGAACTACATAGTTCATAGCCAGCCTAGACTACATAGTGAGACCCTGTCTCAAAAAACCAATACAACAAAACAAAAACATTGATTACTTTCAAGTGAAGTTCAGAATTATCCCAGACTCATAATTTATGTGCTAGAAGTCCAAATAACAGTCATTTCTGGGTGAAGGCATTTCGTAGGATGGGGTACAAGGAAGCATTCTGGTGTCCAACTTGATCTGTGTGTGGTGGCTGCCTATGAAAATAATCACTGTGATGCATATACTGTGTGTGTGTGTGTGTGTGTGTGTATGAATCCACATTACAAAAATTATTGCTCAATTTAAAAAAGATTAAGTGAGTTTGTATTTGATTTCTTCATTCACTAAAATTCATTTTTGCACATATTTACCAGGTCATTTACTTACATTTTTATCCCCTTCAAATTTTTTTCCCCCAGTGTTGGGGACTAAACTTGGGGCCTTTGTGCTGAGCTACATCCCCAGATTTTTATTTTAAGTTTGTGAGAAAAAGAGAAAATCACTAATACCCCAAGTTATTCAGGCTAGGCTCAAATTTGTAATCCTCCTGCTTCAGCCTCCTGGGGTTACATGTGTGTGCCACCAAGCTCAGTCACCTTTAGATGTTTTAAGGCAAAATAATGCCCCAGATTGCACTGTCCAATAGGAAGACTATAAGTTACATACAGGTAGCTGCTTAAATTTAGACTAAATCAGAATTTAAAGTCCAGTCCCTTAGTCAAACCAGCAGCATTTCATGTTCTCAATAGCCAGATGTGACTAGTGGGTACAGTACTGGACAGCACCAATGGAAAAAGGAATATAGTTTTGCAGTAACTGCTCTTGGACGGCAATATTCCAGAGTATCATGCATAAAAAAAATGATGCTTGGAGACAGCACCATAGCATTACACAATTTTGGCTATTCTCACAATATGCTCACACATTCCCCCCTCACACACACAACTACAAGTGGATTCTCAGTGTGTCATTCACTTAATTTAAAAAAATCCAAAATAGGACCTGGAATTTAGCTCAGTGGTTCCACTGCCTGCCTCGCAAGCACAAGGTTCTGAGTTTGCTCACCGATACCAAAAAAAAAAGATCCAGAAGAATCTACTCAGAATTCATTACCCTGCAAACAAACTTTTTCTTATACATTATATTTGGCCACAGCTTGATTAATCACAGATATCACCCCCAAAACAATCATCATTCTGTCCCAGACATCCTCTCACAATCAAATGGGCCATTAATAACTTTTTTCACAGGGCTGGGGATTTAGCTCAGTGGTTCCACGGTCTGCCTTGCAAGTGCAAGGTCCGAGTTCTATCCCCAGTATCAGGAAAAACAAACAAACAACAACAACAAAAACAAAACACTTATCTCACAATGGGTACCCCAGTCTTCCCTTCCCCACCTCAGGCTTTGGCAGCTTTTCCAGCTCCAGGCTACATTTTCTGGAAAGTATCAAGTCAAGACCTAACAACCTCTTTTGTGTGAGATTTTTAGAACCTCTGGAGAGTCCATTGAGGAAAACTAAGTAGGTCTGCTCAGACTACAGCAAAGTGAGATCCACTTTTTTTTTTTTTTTTTTTTTTTTTTTTTTGTACCGAGGATCTAACTCAGGATCTAACTTGTGCTTATGAGGCAGGCTGCAGAACCATTCTGCTAGCTGACACTTGGGCGGTTACAGATGTCATTTTACAGAGAACAGGTCTCTTCTGAAGATGTTCTTCTAATCAGGAGTGGGCTTGGAAGTGTCACAGGAAGGAAAAAGGCTACTAAATAGATGTCCCATTACACCTTGAGGGCCCTGACCTTTCCAGGAGACCTCTCTCCCTTGCTCGAGCTGGTGTGAGAGGTGGTTCTAAATAGTTTTGTGTTGAGGATGTTTTGATATAGCCGTTTTTTCTTTTCTTTGTTCTGCTTTGTTCTAGAAGGGGCACACAGAGAATACAATTCTACACACTTAAAGTCTTGCATGAAGTAAGTTCCCATTTTTTCTCTCCTTCAATATTTTTCTTTTAAAAGATGTTTTCTACCACCTGCAGCATCTCTCTAAAGAGGAAGCAGCCATTCAGTGATTGGTACTTGGCTGCCCTAGAAGTCTAGCTCCACTCCCTAGCTACACTACATCTCACCTTACTTTCACCCAGTTATATATCAGTCCTCACTGAGCTAAGATTGATGAAAAACAATTGTACCTTCTAGCGGGAAATTTGGTGACTTAACTTTATCATGGAACTTTTCAAGCAGGATAGAAAGCAGGAACCTCAGCGTGTCCAATACCTACCTATAACTAAAAATAATACAGCAAACCTCCCCTTTTTCCTATAGTATTTCTAAACTATTTCCTCCTTCTGTATACATACATAACAAAAAATGACTTATTTTAAAATAACCACCATGCTCTTGTACGAACATAAAAAACTAACAGTACTTCTATAATCCTATACCCAGTCTACATTCAGATTTTCTCCGCTATTTCAAAGATTGAGTTTTACAAATGGTGTATTCAAATCAGGATCCATGTAGATTTTACACACTACTTTTGATTGCCAGATCTCTTAAGCTTTTTAAATCTGTGACACTTTCCCTCCTGGCTTTTTGCTTTTGTTTTAATTGGTGCCATTTATTTGTAGAAAAGCTAGAGTATTTGCCCTACAGAATATTCCACATTCTGCTTTTGGCCAGTTGTTTTCTTGTAGCATTAAAAAAAAAAAAAAAAAAAATTGCTCCCAGGGCTGGGGATTTAGCTCAGTGGTGCCATCGCCTGCCTTGCAAGTGCAAGGACCTGAGTTCAATCCCCAATACCAAAATAAATAAATAAATAATTAAAAAAAAATGTTCCCAGATCACCCATTTTTCTGTATCTGTGTAGTTAGATCTAGATGCTTGATCGTATTGAGATCACATTTTGTCCAGCTCACCAATAGTTCATAGTTGGTGCCATGTTCTTTCTGTTACATTGCATCATGAAGTTTCAAAAGTACGGTGTCATATTGATCAGTGCTGAAGTGTTCACTTGATCTTTCCTTTATAAAATTCTCCTTTTTACCCTAAAGCATGTGTTTTCAGTAGTGGGAAAAGGGATATTTCTGCAAAGGGGGTGAAACTTGATTCTTGACAAGGAGAGGGCCAAAAACTTAATACAATGGTTTGTGGCTCTCCATGGACTACTGTACAAGAACAGACATATATAGTGCATCTGTGGCAATAAAAGGCCATGTGTGGTCTAAAACTTCTTAGGGAGGTGACGATGAAAACTTCTTAAAAATACAAGAAATATTAGTGGGGCACAGTTACTATTTACCCCATCTAGGGCTAGAGATATAGCTCAGTGGTGCTGCACCTGCCTGGCAAATGCAATGTCCTAAGTTCAACCCCCAGTACTGGAAAACAAAATTTACCCCATCTGTAACCCCAGAAGGCCAAGGCAGGGTAGTGGATACTCCCAGAAATCCTGTACCTGTAGTTGCACTGAAGTTCAGACTGATTTCTGGCTGTGAGGCTGGAAGCAGATTTGGCTCCCTGACCTCCTGCTGGTTTAAGCAAGCACTCTCACTGCAACAATGGGAGCCACTAGATGGAGGCAGCCCATAGCTGTTCTGCGTTCCAAGCTCTGTTGGCCCCTCTCCAAGATGGCTACCAAACAATAGCCCTTTCCTGAGTGACATATAAACCTGAATAACTCGTCAGGCCCTGCAGTCCACTGCATCAACTGCTGTGTTCCACTGTTGTGTTTTTCTGTGGAGGCCTTTGGGGTTGCCAGTAGTCACCCTGAATCTCCAGGTTCAACCAGCCCTTCTCACATACAATGAGTCCAAGCTCTGATAGAAAGCACCACCTGCTGCGTCCCTCCTCTTTGTTGAAATCTCTCTCTTGGCGCTACCCATAGATTTCAGTTCTTGCTTCAGATTCTTCCTGGGTCCTGGGGACCCACTTCCCTCCTTCTTTTCTTTCTCACGGCGCTACATTCCAGTGTTTGGACACCAAATCTCAGAGAGGCTCTTTTCTTTGCTGTTCACCACTCTGCCATCTTCCCAGAAGTTGAAAAAACTAATTTCTTCCTGAGGTATGTTATTTTATGTACTAGTTTTAAAAATCAAATCATTAGTTTTATGTGGTGGCAGATGTTTATAATCCCAGCTACTCAGGAAGATGGGTAGCTTGAGGCCAGTCTGGGCAACTTCGTAAGACCTTGTCTTAAAATTTAAAAAGGGGCTGCGGTTGGGTGTCTGGCACACACCTGTAATCCTAGCACTCTGGGAGGCTGAGGAAGAACAATGACAAGTTTGAGCCCGGCCTAGTAAATGGGCAACTTAGCAAGAGCCATTAAAAAATTTTTACAAAGGACTGGGATGTAGCTCAGTGTGAAGCCTGGTTCAATCCCCAGGATATAGCTGAATGTTCCCTGTATTGAGTCCTCAAGTATCCTACACACATACACACACAAATTAAATCTACTAGTAGTTATTTTTCTTTTCTATGAATTAAATTTAAATTTTTTTCTAATATTTTCTCTTTCTAACCATTCTAACCTATCAAATTCTGTTTTCATTTTTATTGTTTTTTCTTCTGTTTACAGTGTTAATTGTTCTTTTCTGATTTTATGTGTTGAGTATTTAGTTGCTTTTCATTCTCTCATTTATCTTAGTAAATATTTAAGGTCATGAATTTTTTACTATTTACTGGTATAATTTTATCCTGCAGATTTTTATATGTAGTATTTCCATTATTGATTTTCTATAAATCCTGCAATTCTTTTTTGCCTTTTGACAGAAGAGGTGCTTAATGGAGATTTTAAAATTTCTAAGACAAGGGCTTCTTTTCTTTTTTTAGTGCTAGGGATCAAACCCAAGGCCTCCAGCATGCTAGCCAAGCATGCTACCATTGAGTTACATCCCTCTACTGGCTTATAGATGCTCCCCCCCAAAGCCTCTTGCACTCATAGATAGGGCTTTTGGTAAAGATTGGATCATGGGTGTGATACTGGATCAGTCAGCTGATTGGCTTAGCATAGTTTTGGGTGCAGATGATGGGCTTTCTGAGGAGTGAAGACCCACGTTGGGTGTGTATGGCCACCAACCAATAGGCTTGTAGCCTGGGTGGAAAGAGGGAAAGAAAAGAAGGAAGATTGCTGCTTTTTGCTGCCACACCAGGATTCAGCCTCCTTTGCCATGCACCTCTGCTTTGGACTACGCACTGAAACCTCTACAAAGTATGAGACAAATCTTTCCACCTTTAGCTTCTGGGTGTTGGGTATTTGTCCCAGCAATGAGAAAGTAACTAAGACAATCCCTAACCTTCAAAGGCCTTTAAAAATGTTTATTAATTTCTTTTTGTTGTTGTTGTTTTGTTTTTGAGACAGGTCCTCACTATGTAGTTGAGACTGACCTGGAACTCACTATGTAGCCCAGGCTGGTCTCGAACTCACAGCAATCCTCCTGCCTCAGCCTCCCAAGTGCTGGGATTACAGGCATGCGCCACCACACCCAGCTAATTAATTTCAAGTGTTTTATACCGGGATAAGAGATTTTTTAGTGCCAGGAGCATTTCTACACACATTTTGGGGAAAAATCATTTCTTAAGTAAAGTATGACTATAGCTGTCTGAGGCTCAATGTATCTTGCTCCTGAGTCAGCTATAGCACGCGGAAACATAACTCCGTTTGTATCCGGTCACAGCTGAGGCCTCAAGGGTTCTGTGATGCTGTGCTGCTTAATGGCAAGATTACATCAGCTGAGGCATCTTGATTCTTTGAGAACTGAGAAGTAAAACAAAAGAGAAAGGTTCATCTGGGGAGGGACTAATTCCCTGTTAAATTTAGGTCACCCACCTTTGTTAGAATGCTTTCCATCTGGTCCTCCCCAAAGAACCTTGTGATTTAAGATCATCAACTCCTCACTGTCCTAGGGTTACTGCTACCTCCTAGGTCACCTGTTGCTCCCTCCAATTATTGTGTGTACCCAATAAATGATGGCTAGCTTGGAGAGTCTTTGTCTTTGCCCACACTGAGGCACTGACCACTTGCCCCCACTTTGAAATTGTGCAAGTTTCTATTGTCTTTTTCCTCTTTAGCCCATCCCCTTTCTAGGTATCGGAGGATTGATCGCTATTTGATATCCCTTTATGCCTTTGTCCCATCTGGGATTTTACCCTACTGGAGAGTGCTACCCTGAGGGAGGACAGCCCTCAAGTATGCTGTCCCATATGCTAGGGAAACAACTTCATCCAGTCTGTGAACATCTATGTAAAAGTGATACAAGGCTTTCAAGCACCATTTCTAAACGGAGACGGAGTGGGGCTGTAAGGGTGTTACCATGCACAATAAACAAAGTAAATTACCTTTCAGATACAGTTATATAGCAAAGGGTGTGAGAGTATTTGAAGTCTACATCTCAAAACTGAGTCTAGTAGCATGCCTGTAATTCCAGAACTCTGGAGGCTGCGGCAGGAGGATAGCCACAAATTTGAGACCAGCCTGGGCTACACAGTGAGTTCAAGGCCAGCATGAACTACATAGCAAAACCCGTCTCAGCAAAAAAATAAAAACAAAAACAAAAAATCCTGAGTTTATGATACCAAGCATAGTTTCTAAATACTTCAAAAATGGAACAGAAACAGCACTTTACAAATGTGAATTCCATAGAGAAGTTGTTCAACTAAATGTGGCTACATTGTTCTAGATTTCCAGCATCATATTCCTTTCCAGCTTCCTCTGAACACTTTTAAATTGTGGCTAATGCTGCTGGTTTTATTAAACAATGTCAGTCTGAATGTTTACCTAGCCAGTGTCTGCTCAAGAGCTGAGAAGGGAAAATACTCGGGGAGGTTCCTGAACACAACCTAAAGCATGCAACTCTTAACTAAATATATCTTGTTTAAAAGTAATACTGATTTTGAATACTACTCCACAACAAATGTCTGAATGTTTAAATTTTTATATAAAATAGTATAGATTTATTATTATCGATTATTTAGCTCATCCCCAAAGTAGATTCTTCATGAAGACATGTTTTTATTAACTTTAATTTGAAGAGGAAATGAAGCCTAAAAGGGTTCAGATTTCTCCAGTTACAATTTCAACCCTCCATGCAGTGATCCAGATTCAGGCAATAACACACAGACTCATACAGTCTCCTCCCACACAACCGCTCTGCATGCCCGCACACACTGCAGCATTACTGTTTACACCCCCACAAAGCACACATAATGTTGACCTCACCTCTCGCTCACGCACATCAATCTTACCCACACAGTTTCCCTGTCATCCATTTAACTCCCCACACGGTCTCTCTCACACCCTCAGCACTTCCTCTGCCCACTCTCGCAGCACTTGGTTGGCGGCTTACTCTCGGTCAGAGTCCCCCGGACTGTCCGGTCTCATACGCTCAGGTCTCACAGTTGCGATCGCTAGTCCAGCTCTCCGACACTCTGTGGCTGTCAGCCTCATACGGGAATTCCAGGCAGCTTTGAGTTCAGCCTTTGTAGTCGCGTCTGCCCAGTTGCAGCCACAGCACTTCGGGGGCCCCTTTGGCCAAGCCCATCGCATCCCCGGTGGGGTTTTGGACCGCGTTTCCCCGGAGGCCCGGCGGCCAGCAGCGTACTTGGCAACGTTAGGGGCCAAAGTTTGCTATCCGCGGCAGCTCTAAACTTATTTTGTACCAAAGTTAGAGATTACACCCTACAAGTTAAGCAGGCAAGGGGCACTTGGTTACAGAATAATGCAGAGTTGGGCGTTGTGGTGTAAACCAGCAATCCAAACACTCGGGAGAGTGAGGCGGAGGATCGTGACTATGAAGGCAGCCTGTCCTACGTGGCGAGTCGAGGCCGCCTTGAGCTACAGCGAGACGCCTTCTCAACAACCAAGCAGGGTAATAGTCACTTTTGAATACACTAGTTGCTGGGGATTTATAGCCCATGGAGTCAGCGGATGATAAAGCACCAGGAGAAAATGAGTGTGAAGAGTGGAGAGGAGTATGTCTGAAGTTACTTTTAAGAGAAGGACATCTGGACAAAAAGAAGGCTCACGGCCCAATTCGTTTGCTTTTTGGATACGTTGTCCCCTGAGACTTTCGGAAGGCTCTGAAGAATAGCTCTGTGAGAAGCAAGTTTGGCTTGTTTGGGAGTCCGTACCACAGAAATCCAACTCAGACCTTGACGGCAGGCAGCTTGCGACTAACTACATTTCCCAGAGGCCTCTAGGTTCGATGCTCCCGGAGAAGGACTCTGTGGGAAGAATGGGCGGGGTCGGGAGGACAGTCTGAGCGCTTTGTGAGAGCTGGATTTGACCACTTCGCGGTAGAGAAGAGCCGGGCTGACTCGACCACAGGAGGCGTAGGTGAGGCGGTTCGGAGCCCCTAGTATGGAAACTCCACAGAGTGTGGATTGGGGATGAGGAGTCAAGGCAGGAAGACGGGAGATTGTGAGGAGTGTGTGTGTGACTGTTATTGTGTGTCCATCGGGAATGTGTGTGTCCGTGTACAGAACCGTTAAGACGGGAAGGAGAGCTTCATTTGCGGTTTTGATTCTGAGTACGTGAATGGAATTTGTGTGCCTGAGGTGTGTTACTGTGTTTGGCAGGTGTGAGATTTGAGTGACGTCCTGTGTATTATTTTCCGAACTGTGAGTGGGTGGGGGAGTGTGTAGGAAGCCTTAACTGAGATGCGTGACTGTTTCCCGTGTGTGTGATATTGTTCGTGTAGGATGCCTGTGTCATAAGGTGTATGGCATGCAAGTGTGACACCGACGTTTGACTATATGGTATGTGGTATGTACACTTGTGTGTTTTTGCGGCCGTGTTTGGTTTAGTTTAGGGATGGCTGTGACTTTTATGTCCCCTTGGTGTGGATGAATTTGTGTGACTAGGTGTCCATATAACCACTTTGGTGTGGGGTGTCTTTGTCCCTTTGTGACTAAAGCCACGGAAGACATCTCTCAGCTCAGGGTCAGATTCTGTCCAGAAGTGTAGCTCCCCTGCTTTTGGTTGGATGCAGGGATTGAGTAGGAGGTTGCACTTGTCTGACCTCCCTCTGTATGTATGAGCTCCAGAGTCCTAGCTAGAGTAACCTTTGAAATGATCCATGGATTCCCAGAAGAGTCTGGTGTTTCCTGATTCCTTCTTCCTTCCTCAGCTCTGCCACGCTTGGATGGAGACCTCCAGAAAGGAGTAAAGAATAGTTGTTGAATTTAACATCATCCACAAGGCATCTACAAGGTAGCTTGTCATTTCCTCTTGTCCCCTATATCTTTGTCAGGACCTGACTTACTTTCCTTTTCTTGAAAATTCTTGACCTGATTTCTGTAGCTGCCTTTTTAGGAGCTGTAGAAGCACCAAACTCCTACTCCCCAATCCTCCTCCATTTGATTGGCTCTTTATTGTTAGGTGGTTTTAATTTTTCTTTATATTTGTTTTTTTTTAAACTATTATAAAAGTAAAACGTGATAATTTTAAATAACTTCAAGAGTACAAACATCCTAGGCAGAGGATGTAGCTCAGTGTTAGAGCACTTCCCTAGCATGTATGAGGAATCACAAAGCCCTGGATTCAATCAATCCATAGTACCAGAGGGGAAAAAAAAGGTAATGCATAAATTCCTAATAAACTTCCCATTGAAACTAATGCTAACTTTTAAAGCTTTCCTTTCCAGTATATTTCATGGTCATATAAAAATATATTTTTTTAAAAATTGATTTTTTATAGAATTTACCATGGAGCATATCCTACAGTTGCTCATAGATTTATATTTAAGCATAGATTTATAATTAAGTTTAATTTTGAAAATATTTTTAGAGGTACACAATATTTATCTGAATGCTTTTCTTCCAAATTAAAAATGGCATAAAATATCCATTTGTGCAGTTTAACAGTTATGAAGATCCATGTAGGAGTAACCAGATCAAGAAATATACCTCTTGACATTATAATATATTCATTTTTGCCAACTTGGTGGGTATCTAAGATTATTATGTTTAATTATATTTCTTTTATAATTGAGTACCAATTCTTGGGCATTAAAATGTCCTTTCTAAAATGCTTTTTCAGATATTTTTCCAATTTTTATCTGGGCTGTTTTGAATGACATAGTTGTTAATAAATGCACATAAAATATTTATGTAGATACATGTATATGTATGTATTCATCTTTTATATATTAGTCATTTTAGTTACATGTGTGATAAATATTTTCTCTAGCTCTTGGTCAAATTTTCACTATTGTCTTTTGTTGAAGTTCTGCATTTTAATGCAATGAAATCTTTTGCTATTAGTGCTTAAGAAATTTTCCTCTACCTTGAGATATTAGGATTTTCTGCTGTGTTCTCTTCTAAAAGTGTTCTAGTTTTTGGTTTTAACATTTAGGTCTTTATTGCCTGAAATTGGTTTCTGTAGGGAAATTTTCAATTTAATTTTTTTCTCCTGTGTCTGTCCAGTTGTTACAGTATCATTTATTAAAAATTACATCTTTTCTGCACTGACATGCAGTGCTATTTTAGTTAAAATCCAGGTGATTATATATATATAATGTTTATAGAGTCCACCAAGAAATGTGTACACAGTTCAAGAAAAGAACATGTATAAATATTTTAATACTAAATTTATTGAGATATCATGAGATTAATACATGTTACTTTTGGCCTCCACAATTATAAGAGGTATTCAAATGGCCATTAACTTTCAGATATTTATTAGTACAGCGAACTGCTGCTTGGGTAACCTTGGTCATTGAGATTGCTGCAAGTGTAGTGAGTTTTCTGTGATACATGACATCCTCTAGGGTCCCCATCAGAGGGTAACACCATCCGTTGAAAAAATGTCGTACTATAATAAGCATATTTTTTTATTCTACATTCTGTACCATTAGTCTATTGTCTCCCCTTGCAGTAATATCATACTTTCTTTTTCACTGTACATTTATGCAGTATTTGGAACAAGTCTTCTCATCTTATTATTCCCCAAGAATATCTTGAGGGTTTGTATTCCTTTGCATTTCCAAATGCATTTTTGTTTTTGTTTTTGGTACCAGGGATCGAAGTTGGGAATTTGCACTTGTGAGGCAGACAGCAGCACCACTGAGCTATATCCCTGGCCCCTCCATATACATTTTTGAATTAGCTTGATTCCACCCAAATGTCTTTTGGAGTTTTGATTGACTACATGTATAGAAATTTGGGGACTCTTCTAATACTATGAACTTCTGAATTGATAGAGGTCTTCTTAATGTTTCTCCATGGGTATTGCTTATTTTCTATAAGTAGTTCTAGACAGGGATGATGAAGTCTACTCTATAGCATATCTCTTTTTATGGACTGTGAGGAGTCTGAACACTTCTAATAATAGTCATAATAAACATTGTACCCTGCATTTTTTATATTCAGTATGATGGTGACTTTTTTCTTCTACTCCATCCTTCTTGTCATACATTAAAATCAGCCTTATTAGACTGGAATGATTGTATAGTATCTTGAACAGCTAGATTGTAAGAGAAAACACTTCAAAATTCCCCGGTATCTAAGTCAACACAGACTTGCCTTTGTGCTGTCTGGGTAGCTAGGAGCTACATGGATCTCTTGCATAATACCTTACTATGTGTTTCCTTTACCAAATCAGTGTTTTAATGGGCAATGTTTATTTTATGTTTATCACCCCTTACTGTAAATGATTGTAAATCAGTAGTCATAACAAGAGTTCTATAAAGTTAAAAAAAATCCCCGTCTAGGTCCACCAACGCATGAATTCCATTTACATGCCTCCGATTCTTTTTCCAGATCACTAACTTCAGCCAGGCTTTGAGCAGAAACATGATTTAGTTTTCCACATTATTCTTAGGCTTCAAAGTGTTGGACTTTTGACCTAACAGCTTCCTGGTAACAGCGAATCTGAAAAGACAAATCTGTGGATGAAAGATTCTTTCAACATAGTATCCTTCCACTCCTGTCTTCTTCAGTTCTTTACGTATGATTTCAAAATTTTTCTCATATTCTTAGCCTCCTTAAATATATTTTTAGAAATGGAAGACATGAAAATTATAGATTTAAATACAGATGTAGATATTTATTGTCTAATTATTTTTATTTTAATAAGAACTTATCCAATTAAGTCTGTTTTCCGTGGTATCTTTTACTCTCCTCCCCTTAGTGCATTTTGTCTTTACTCTTCCTCTCTACCCACTGTTCACCCCACAATCCTCTGTCAAGTAATTTCTGCCTCTGGAACTTTTTTTTTTTTGCTTCTAGAACTTCACTATCTGTTCCTATCAATCTTTTATTTCAAATACTGGCTCATAGAAAAAATTAACAAATCATCTCTCAGATTTACCCATACTTATGTTCCTATAATGTGGTATAAAGAGTCCAGGCTCTAATATAAAAAAGACATTGCTAATTGCTAGAGCTAGGATTTAGCTCAGTGGTTCTACCACCTGCCTCGAAAGCCCAAGGTTCTGAGTTCGATTCTCAGTAACAACAAAAAAGATATTGCTTTTGATCCAAGCTCTAATATTTGTGAGCTCTTTTACTAGTGAAGGAGAGATAACTGTTTCAGTTTTGTTGAGATTGAAATAATATATGTGTAGACCACTTTGTACACATCAGTTGTTTGATAAATATTAGCTCCTTTTCTTATTTACTTCTTATTCTTGGGACCTCTATAGCACTTACAGTATAAAGAATTTGACTAATGGCCTTTGGTTTTTCACATACTTTTGCTCCCTAACTGCACAATAAAGATCGAGAGCCAGGCGTGGTGGCGCATGCCTGTAATCCCAGCATCCCAGCACTTGGGAGGCTGAGGGAGGAGGATCGCTGTGAGTTCGAGACCAGCCTGGGCTACATAGTGAGTTTCAGGTCAGTTTCAACTATAAAGTGAGACCCTGTCTCAAACAACAATAACAACAACAAAACAAAGATCTTGAAGAGCAGGATTGTATTTTTAATTTTATTATATACATAACTTTTAAACCCATGTGAAATTTGTTTTCCTTTGTATTAGGGATCTAAATTCAGTTTTTCTCTTATATACCTAATATTATGCTAATATAACTTTCAAATAATTTATTTCCTTTCCTTTGTACTGCCTACTTAATATATTATTGAAATTATTTGCTTTATAATTTGCTTTTCTTCAGTTCTTTGATTTGTGCTTTTACCTTTACCAAGTTTAGATCTCTTTGTTTTTGAAATCTTTTAATGCCTGATGAAATAGTTCATTTCTTTTCTGAAGATTGTTGTATTCTATATTCCTTTTATGTGGCAGCTTCCAGTCTCCTTTTAAACTCATTTCTAGGTACTTTGTATTTCCATTTAGTCTTATGTTTAATGTGGGAATTATTTAGAATTATTTTTTAAGTATATAATTTAGTGGCATTTAGTGATTTTAAAATGTACAACCATTAGCCTCTAGTTGAAAAAGGTTTCTATAGGTACAAAAAATTCTGTGCCTATTTGAAGTACAAAATACTTAACTTTGGGCTGGGGATTTAGCTCAGTGGTTTCACCACCTGCCTTGCAAGCACAAGGTCCCAAGTTTGATCCCTGGTACTCCCTCCAAAAAGAATTAACATTAACAAATTCAAATTTGTGTATCTTTGTCCATTGCTTGTGCACTGGTGTCAAATCTAAGAATCTACTGCCTAATGCCAGGTCATAAAAATTTCCAAATCCTTATATTTTCTTGAAAGGGTTCATAATTTAGTTCTTCTATTTTAAATTGTAATCTATTTTTTTTATACCAGGAATCAAACTCAGGACCTTGCAGTTGCAAGGCAGGCAGTGAAACTACTGAGCAAATCCTTCACCCTGTAATCTATTTTTAACTAATTGTTTATATAGAGGAAAGTAGAGGTCTGTCTTCATTCTCTTGCATGTGCTTATTCAGTCCTCCTATCACTTGCTTCAGACTTTCTTTGACATTGAATGGATATATCATTCTTTTGGAAATGAGTTATTCATAGATATTTGGCTTTATTTTTAGATTCTTAGTTTTTTTATTCTTTTGGTCTATATATGTTTCCTTGTGCCAGTACCTTACGGCTTGGATTGCTGTAATTATATGGAAATAGTTTTAAAGTTTGGAGGACTGAGTCACCTGACCTTGTTTTATCTTTTGGAATATTATTTTGGCTATCTGGAACCCATTGTGGTTTGACGTGAATTTGAGGACTGGATTCATCAGTTCTCCATTAAGTAGTAAAAATTTGATAGCGATTGCAGTGAATCCACAGATCACTCTGGGAGTATTGCCATATTAACAGTACATATTAAGTTTTTCAGTCTATGAACAGGGGATGTTACTCTGTTTCAATCCTAACTATAATTCATTTCTGGCACTATCTAGAGTTAGTGTAAGACCACATAGCTTTAAGTGTCTACATGGTCCCCAACAAATCTGCCTGTACTTCTGCTTCTGACCAATTGGCTACCAGCCACTTAGTAATTTATAAGAATGAGTTATAGAACTTAAGAAAGCACTCTATTTAAAATTATAGTTTTATTGTAATGGATAAGGATGCCAACCAAGAGCAGCCAAATGAGAAGACACATAGAACAAAGTCTGGAGAGGATCCAAACATAGCTTTTATGCATTTTTCCAGTGGGGTTAGAGCGTGTTACCCTCTTAGCATGTCAGTATGTCCCCGGAGCTTCAGGATCTAGAATTTTACTGGAGATTGATTATATAGGCATAATTGGTTAATCATTGACCATTCCAGAGTCAATATCCAGCCCCACTGTACTCCTCAGAGATTAGGCTGGCTCAGAGTCATTCTGATAACTACTGCCCTAAGTCTGAAGCTATTTCAGGTACTACTCTGAATGATCACACCATAGTCAGGTGTGATCTAACAAGAAAGACACGTCTATCACTTGGGAGATTCTAAGAATCATGGAAGCTCTGAGTAAGGAATCAGCTCTAGGAACCTGGGAGAAAGACCTGGCACCTTACCAAGCAACAGATGTCTTCCTGTGTATTTAATGACATCTTTTTAAAATCTTAGATCATTTAGTTTTTTATTGATCTGAGAAATATCTTCAGTTTAATCTTCATATTGATACTAGTTTTTAGTAGTAATTTTATGTGTCTTCTGTGACTAACTTCCTTATAATGGATTTTATTCATAATTGAGCTAGAAATCAGTTATATCATTGTTCAACTTTGTTTTCCATGTAATTAACATTACTTTTTTTTTAAAAAAAGAAAAGTGACTCTTGGTAATCCATAAATCAGTAAATTATATTCAAAATCTGCTAGAATATTTTTTTCTTATGTTCTGTCAGTTACCGGTGTTTGGAGAAACCTTTCTGTAATTCTCGGTTTTCTTTGGAAACTGCTTGTCCAAATATTATTCTAAAATTTGCCATTATAAAAATTCTGGGGGCTGAGCATGGTGGTGCATGCCTGTAATCCCAGCATTTGGGAGGCTGAGGCAGGAGGATTGCTGTGAGTTTGAGACCAGCCTGGGATACACAGTGAATTCCAGGTCAGTCTCAACTACATAGCGAGACCCTGTCTCAAAACAAAACAAAACAATAACAAACAAACAAAAAATTCTAGGGGCTGGGGATTTAGCTTAGTGGCGTCACCATCTGCCTTGCAAAAGCAAGGTCCTGAGTTTGATCCATGGTACCAAAAAAAAAAAATCTGCAGTCTTTTTCATTATTGTTCTTTATTTTCTGGATTTTATGTCTATTTTCCTATTCCTTGGTTTACTGGGGGGGATGGAGGAGGGGAGGATGTGTTGTGGTAGGGACCCAATTCACGGCCTTCTGCATGCGAGGCAGGTGCTCAGCCATTGAGACCTTAGCCCTTATAACCCCTTCTTGATACAGGTTGCATATAGGAAGGATAAATGAGAGTTGAACTTTTTGTGTTGTAGAGTATCCGAAAATGACTTTTTAAATGGTTACATCGATTCTTTGGTAGAATATGCAGTTGTACATTGAAAATATTTTCCCTCTGAATTTTGAATTTCTGAGTTCTGTCTTACAGTTTAGTTCAGAACTCCATGTCCATTTTCATTACTAGCTTTTTGTTTATCCCCCATTTTTGCCTTTAAAAACCTTTTAGGGGCTTTTCTTTGACCCCACTGTTCTAGAACCTAATAAAAATAAATCTTTTTTTCTTTTTTTGCAGTACTCTGGATTGAACGAGGCCTTCACACTGAGCTACATCTCAAGCCCTTTTTAATTTTTTATTTTGAGACAGGGTCTCACTACGTTGTCCAGGGTGGGCTCAAACTTGTTATACTCCTGTCTCAGCTTCCCAGAGAGCTGAGATAATAGGCATGTACCACTGAGCCTGGCAAACAAAACAAAACAAAACAAAAATATATATATTAATGTGAATAATTTTTATTTCACATGCTAGGTATCAAATGGACCCACTAAATGTAGAAATTTTCTCTTTGAGTTCTGGGAAATATGCTTGGATGTTACTTTTTTTTTTTTTTTTTTTTTTTTTTTTTTTTTTGAGACAGGGTCTCACTATGTAGTTAAGACCGACCTGGAACTCACTATGTAGCCCAGGCTGGGCTTGAACTCACAGCGATCCTCCTGCCTCAGCCTCCCGAGTGCTGGGATTACAGGCATGCGCCACCATGCCCAGCTGTTACTTTTAATACAAAACGTATTTTCTGTTTTCTTTGAAAATTTTCAAAACATGAAAAATTAAAAGACTATTCCAGATACTTCTGAATTCCCTTGTCTTGGTTTATTTGGGCCATTTTAACAAAATGTCAAGTGGGGTAGAGAAATTAATTTCTCCTACTACTGGAGGCTAGAAAGTCCATGATCAAGATGCCAGCAGATTCAGTATTTGGTGAAGACCTATTTTCAAATCCATAGGTTGTACCTTCTCCCTCCATTTCATCATAAAAGGGATGAGACAGCTCTCTGGGGCCTCTTTCATAAGGGCTCTGACCCCATCCATGAGACGTCTTGGCTCATGACTTGTTTAGTTTCCAAAGGCCCTGTGTCCTAATACTGTCACATTAGTGATGAGGTTTCAACATTTTATGGGGGACACAAACATTCAGACCCTCACACTTGTGACCTAAATTCAGACATTGTAAAAATTCTGGCACATTGCTTTATGTATTTTAATACACAGACATAAACGCTTTCCCTTCATCATTTCAAAGTGAGTTGGGAATATCTTGACATTTTACTCTTAAAAGTTTTAAGACGTTCCCACTGGCTTGAACCACAGGTGGTACAAATGGATCTAACCACTTTTATTGGTATTTTTTACTAAGAAAATTAATAAAAAGCCACCCGATAGGACCATGATACATGAATCACTGGTAGTTCAAGCCACCTGGCAGCTTGAATTATGGCCCCATCATGTATGTGTTAAAACATATCTCTTAAGTATTAAGAACATATTTCAGGCTGGAGGTGTAGCTCAGAAGTAGAGCCCTTGCCCAAGCATATGCATGGACTTGGGTCTATCTTTATTACCACAAAGGAAAGGAAAAACAAAACATTTTAAACCTAAGAAAACTAACATTAACATACATTAGTGGTTTTCAATCTAGAACAGCCCGATTTTTTGTGTTATCTGACCTTGACTTTGTTGGAGAATCCAGGATAGTTTCCCATAGGATAACCTGTTTATGTAACAGCTTTCTTATGGGTAGGAGGCTGAGATTCAGATTAAGTATTTTTAGCAAATGTACCACGTAAGTAACTTACTGCATTGCTTCAGGAAATATATAATGTCATGTCCTACTATTGCTAATGCCAAGTTTTGTCACTTAGGCTAATAGTGGTAAGTTCCAAATCTTTCCAGTATAAAGGAAATTTGGAATTGTGATCTATTCCCAGGCTAGCAGAGTGCCATAAAATGCTCTTTTGTTATGCTGGGCAGGGGCAGAAAGCCAAGTGACCACAAGGATAAAACAACTGATATTCTACATCTACAGTTTACTGTGTTGCTGTTGTACCATAGATTAGGTATATTAGGTGAATTGTTACTTACCAGGACATAACTGGATCATAAGTTGTAGACTGTTCATATATACAGACGTGTGTAGAGTGTTTACATGTATATATGTATTTACATATGTGTATTACTTTTTTGCACTACTAGGGATTGAACCCAGGGTCTTCACACTGAAGCTCTTTTTATTTAATTTTATTTTGAGACAGAGTCTTGATTGCTAAATTGCCAGGGCTGGTCTCAGCTTGAACTCAGTCCTCCTGCATCAGCCTCCTAGATTACAGGTGTAATGCCTGTAAATCCATGCCTGGTTTTAAATTAAAATTTTTTTTGAGACAGGGTCGTACTATGCAGTTGAGGCTGACTTGAAACTCACTATATAGCCCAGGCTGGGCTTGAACTCACAGCGATCCTCCTGCCTCAGCCTCCTGAGTGCTGGAATTATAAATTAATTTTAAAATTATGTTTAAAAAAACTCCTGGGAACGTGATATAGCTTAGTAGTAGAACTTCACTAGGATGCCTGGGGGAAATTTTTTTCTCAATAAATGTAAGACTTCCTCCTAGAGCTTCTAATTTTCTTTCCTGTTTTCTATTTCTTCTTTTTAAAAAGTGTTTTTAGAAATTTTTCTTGTTTTGTTTTTGGTTTCATTAAGTTGCCCAGGCTGAGCTCAGACTTGCAGTCCTTCTATCTCACCTTCTCAGAGTGCTTCTCAGAGTGGTGGCATTTGCCACCATGCCTAATTATGACAGTTTATTCATCCATTAGTGTATATTTAGATATCCATAACCTTCCTATCTTGGTTGTTGTGAATAACACATGTAACATTTGGTGCAGATATATGTATAAGTGGGTAATCTATTTGTATTTTATTATAGGCACTAAGAAACTTATGTAACCACGTATATAGTACTTTGTAGAACTTCATAGATAATTAGTGTCTCCACTTTATGACTTTCTGAGCTTGGGGGCATAAATCATCTGCTTCTGAGTTTTTCTTTTTTCTTTTTTTTTCTTTTTGGTACCGGGGATTGAACTCGGATCCTTGCACTTGCAAGGCAGGCCACCGAACCGTGGAGCTAAATCCCTGGCCCTGTTCTTACTTTTGGTTTAGGTTTTATTTTCTTTGGTCTGATAAAGTGATCATTATTCATATGTATATTTTCTAGCTTTCAATTTTTAACACAGTGTCCTCTTTAATTCTCTGACTTGATGGGTTTGCTCCTTTCTAAAAATTCCTTTTCATTCTTTTTAGTGAAGTGTCAGAAAAGGCAGGGATAATTACATGTGGTCTACCTTTCCTTTTTTCAGAGCAAATATGTCCTCTTTCTAGAAAAATTTTGTTTTTAGAAATTTATTTGTAGCCAGGCATGGTGGTACACACCTATAATCCGAGCACTAAGCAGGATTGAGGCAGGGGATTGCAAGTTTGAGTCATGCCTGGGCAACTAGACCCTGTCTCAAAATAAAAACTTATCCACGTGTGATAGCACAAGCATGTGATCCCAACACTCTGGAAGCTGAGACAGGAGGATCACAGGTTTGAGCCCAGCCTCTGAAATTTAGTGATTTAGTGAGACACAGTCTCAAAATTTAAAAAAAAATTAAAAAGGGCTGGGACTGTAACCTACTGCAAAAGTTCTAGGTTCTACTCCTAATAGGGAAGGTGGGGGTGGGAGGGAGGGCACTTAGTAGTAGAGCATCCATGGGTTTGAACCCTCGTACCAAGGGAAAAGATTAAAGTTTAATTTTAAGGATAATAAATTTTGAAAATCATTATATCATGATAAATTTTAGTCTTTTTGTATGTGCCATAGCTCAAATTTATTTTTATTTATTTATTTTGAGAGAAGGTTTGGTTATGTAGTCCAGGCTTGTCTTGAACTTGCTATGTAGCCAAGGCTGGCCTCAACCTCAAAGTGAACCTCCTGCCTCAGCCTCCCAAGTGCTGGGGTGACAGGTGTGTACCATTACACCTGGCTCATGGTTCGAACTGATTAAAGTAACAGACATTGTTTTTACCTTCATGAATCTTAGCTCTGTTGAAGCAGACAGACATTAATTAGCTCACCACTCAAAACACAAAAATTTCAATTGTAGGGGACAGAGGTAAAATTACCCATTACCAAAACTACACACAAAGAGGAAAAGCACTCAGTGAAATGATGGCAGGGTGTCTATAATTAAGACAGTGTTCTGCGAATGCTCTAATAGGACATGCTATTTAACAAAGACCTTTATGAGGGCCAGAACTTGCAAGGCCAAGCGTAAGTGCAATGGTAAGGGGAGATGTTGGAAAACATTTCAGCAGATCAAATCAGAGTGGGGTGGACTTGTACTTTGCTTTCATGCATTTGAAGAACAAAAGGCTAGTGTAGCTATACTTGTTGGGAAGAAAGAGGTAATCAGAGACAGGCAGGAAGCAGTTTACTGAAAGTTTCTAGGACCAAGTTAAGGAGTACAGGTCTTCTGACAACAGTAGGAAGTCACTGAAATATCTTGGGTGTAATGTGTAACAGTGCCAGGCTAAATGTCACTCTGGCTGCTAGTGATTGAAAGGTTTTGGTGTCCAAGTAAATGATGATTTTGGCTTGGATTAGCCATGCGCAGTTGAGATTGAAAGAACTATTATAAGACATTTAAATTCTGTTCTTAATAAGCTTGTTGTATGAGTGTTGTAGACAGAAACTGGTGTTGGAATATTTTCACCTACTGACGCTTGAAGTGGGGTCCTAATTGATGTCTAAATCCCTTTCCTAATCTCTACTTTGTTATTTAAGTCTTCTAAAATAATAATGCCGTGTCGTTACAGTGGCCCCTCAAGTTATAACTGGCCTGACATACAAATAACTTGGATTAATTAGGTTAATGAAAGATTCAACTGCTTCTTATTATCTATAGTGTGTACCCTACTAAACATCTAGATCTAAGCTGTATTGACTTACAACCAACTTAAATTACAACCAGCTTTCGGGAACTGATAAAGTCTGTAAGACCAAGGTCTACCGTACTTTACACAAGTATATCAGTACATATGTGTGATTTCAAAGTTATTACAAATAATTAGAGCTGTGGTTCAGAATACTCATCTGTTTTCCTCCTCTTAATCTTCCAGTAGTATCACACTGACTCCTGTTTTCCCTTCTTTGATGTTAAAACGATTCCGAGTTACTCTGTTGTCTTTGTTGTTTCTCATTTGTATTCCAAAGGGTAGCCTCATAGATGTCCCTAGCAAACATTTTTCTCAGCTGGCATACTAACCACAGGGGAATATTCCTTATCCATTGTTCACTTCCTTCTTCTTCAGAACATTAATCTTTCCTCTACTACATCCAGAGCACCTTTCTCTTCTATTCTTTCAGTCTCTGTGCAAATAATATCTCTTACTTGATCATCTATTCCTAATTTTTCAACAATGCTGAATAATGAGTATAATAATTACTGTCATAAGTTCCTTTCTCTTCTATTCTTTCAGTCTCTGTGCAAATAATATCTCTTACTTGATCATCTATTCCTAGCTGAATAATGAGTATAATAATTACTGTCATAAGCGTATATAACACTACATTCATTATGTAAAAAGCTAGAATCAGGTTAGGACATTTGTGTATTCATCACATTCCCCAAAACTGCAGGGAACTTATTCTAAATGACTATTTAGGAACAATGGATTTAATCTGTTCTCCTTAATGCTTTTTTTTTAACCTTCCAGTGTGATCTTTTCCCATTCATTTTGCTTTCCTGATCTATTTTCAAAATTCCCAACCATATTTGAGCACTGTATGTTACTCACTTTATGAAAATTAATTTCCATTAAGTCTTCCGTATCTATTATAAAAGTTTTATTTCTCCCAGAACACTAAAAAAGTGAATGTTTGCTTTTATATTTTCTTTCAGACTGTGACTCAAGGTTGAGACCAAGAAATTATTTCTGAAAAAGGATATTTTTGGAATAGAATCATCCTGATGGGAGATAATGGAAAGACTTACAAAACACAGCATTGAGTATTCAAGTTTCAGAGGTGATCGGGAATGGAAAAGCCAGTTTGAGAGAAAACAGGGACCTCAGGAAGGACATTTCACTCTCATATGTACTGCAGAAGACATGCCCACTCTCAGTACCCAGCATCAGACAGTTCACACTGATGAGAAACTCCTTGAATGTAAGGAATGTGGGAAGGATTTTGGTTTTGTATCAGTCCTTATACGGCACCAGCAAATTCATACTGGCGAGAAACCTTATGAGTGTAAAGAATGTGGCAAGGCCTTTGGTAGTGGTGCAAACCTTGCATACCATCAGAGAATTCACACTGGTGAGAAACCTTATGAATGTAAGGAATGTGGAAAAGCCTTTGGTAGTGGCTCAAATCTTACTCACCACCAGAGAATTCATACTGGGGAGAAACCATATGAATGTAAGGAATGTGGGAAAGCCTTTAGTTTTGGATCAGGCCTTATTCGACATCAGATAATTCATAGCGGTGAAAAGCCTTATGAGTGTAAGGAATGTGGGAAGTCCTTTAGTTTCGAATCAGCTCTTACTCGGCATCACAGAATTCACACAGGTGAGAAACCTTATGCATGTAAAGACTGTGGGAAAGCTTTTGGCAGTGGTTCAAACCTTACTCAGCATCTGAGGGTTCATACTGGTGAGAAACCTTACGAATGTAAAGCATGTGGAATGGCATTTAGCAGCGGCTCAGCACTTAATCGTCATCAGAGAATTCATACAGGTGAGAAACCATATATATGTACTGAATGTGGAAAGCCCTTTAGTTTTGGATCAGCCCTTACTCGTCATCAAAGAATTCACACCAGTGAGAAACCTTATATATGTAAGGAATGTGGGAAAGCTTTTAATAGTGGCTCAGATCTCACTCAACATCAGAGAATTCACACTGGTGAGAAACCCTACGAATGTAAGGAATGTAAGAAAGCCTTTAGAAGTGGTTCAAAACTTATTCAGCATCAGAGAATGCACACTGGGGAGAAACCCTATGAATGTAAGGAATGTGGCAAGGCCTTTAGTAATGGCTCAGATCTTACTCAACATCAGCGAATTCATACTGGTGGGAAGCCCTATGAATGTAGAGAATGTGGGAAGGCCTTTGCTAGTGGCTCAAAACTTATTCAACACCAGCTAATTCATTCCGGTGAAAAACCCTATGGATGTAAAGTGTGTAGAAAGTCCTTTAGTAGTAGTTCTGCTCTTAATAGGCACCAGAGACCTCACTGGTAAGAAAACTTATGAATGTAAAGAATGTAGGAAAGCTTTGCTTAGTGACTAGAATGCTACTCAATCTCAGCATCAGAGATAGCACACTGGTTAAGAAACTTTATCAATAAAAGGATTATGGGAAGCTTTGGGGAGGGTTGAGATTTTCAGCAACATAAGAAAAGTCACAAAGTCGATACTAGAAATTCTGTAAAGTGAAATTAAGTGATAAAAAGACTTTCAACACATGGTACAAGAAAATTCATAGTTGTGAAAATCTTTACAAATATAATTAAAGCACACATGACTTGTGCTTCACTGGCTAGCCTAAGAGAATATAGGAAAAAAACTACCCTACATATATATTGGAAGATTTTATCTATATTCATTTCCTTTTCAGAAAGTTCAAGATGAATGTTAAAAATGGAAAAATGTTTTTATTGTATTTTACCTTTATTTTTATTGAAAAAATAATTTTTTGGCTTATCTTATGACTTTCATTTTTTAAAATGTCTTTTTTGAGACAGGGTCTCACTGTTTAGTCCTGGCTTTGAACTCACTGTTTCCCAGGCTGGCTTTGAGCTCCCACTCCTCCTGTGCCAGTTCTACAATATGTATTATACAGAATTAAAATCCATCTCAAAGTGATTTTACTTATTGGAAGTCTAAATTTATCTCTTTCCCTTCTCTCACTTCTCTTCCTAACATCATTTATTAAATAACTATTTTGTGGTTTTTATTGACTATTTGATGTTATATTTTTATTTATATAAATCTTGGCTAGCAGGTGTTTTTTAAAAATTTTGTGTATATGTATTTGTGTCTCACCCAGTTTATGTTAGTAACTATTACTTTTAAGTATCTTTTAATATCTGATAGATCTGTACCTTTTATTTTAGAGGAATTTTATTTTCTTCTTATACTCCTGAGTTCTGAAAAACTTTCACCCATGAAAATGCAGAGAACAACAAAAAGATGGTTATCTGTATCTTACTTATCAGAGATAAACACTGTCAGTCTTGGAGCAAACCCTTTAAAATTATTTCTCTCATAGTTTTTTAAACAAAAGGTGATTATGCTATCCTATAACCAGCCTTGAATATATTTTGCCTGAAACGATATTGTCCCTATTTTATTTTCGTTACTATTTACCTATCTTTATTCAAATGCTGTTTTGTCAAATATTGAAATTTTTGCCATTATAAACAGTTACCTTGATGCCCCCTTTGAATATGTTTGAATTATTTACATGTCCTTTTCAGAATGTGTGGATCTCTTCTGCTTGTAAAAGATTTATATATTACAGATGAAGCTGTGCTTCCCTGTGACTGTTCCTGAATTCAGTTTTTCCTCAGTGTTAACCAACTTAATCTTCCAGATTCTTTTATATGTGTATATGACATACACATCTTTATGTGGGTATGGTTAGAGTACTTCAGAGCATTGTTATGTGGATTCTGTAATTGTGCCTAATACATAATAAATGCTTGGTTAAGACTAGCCATCATAATTGTTATCATTTATGGAAAAAGTTTTAATAATGATCCTTAACTTACCAATAAATATCTCATAATGGAGAAAAAGTCATGTAAATGAATTGATCACTATTTAAGTCTGAACACCACTTAGTCCTTATTGAATAAGAATAATTCACTCTGAAGAAAAACCTGAGATAAAGTGTGAGGAGTCAAATACTCCATAAAATTCATATCATGGTAGAAAAAAAAATAAAGCTATGGTAGCCCCTGCATAAAACTCTGCCAGACATGGTAGTGTACACCTTTAATCCTAGCACCCAGGAGGCTGAGGCAGGAGGATTGCCATGAGTTTCATCTTGGGCTACATAGTGAGTTCAAGGCCAGGCTGAACTACATAGCAAGACTCTGTCTAAAATAAAATAAAAATTAAAAAACACCTGAACATGAACTCATTGCCATTCACAATCATTCTTTGGTTAAAACAAAACCCAAATTATTTTTTAAGGTACTAGGAATTGAATAAATACAGGGCCTATCGCTAAGTTGTTGCCAGCCCTTCTTATTTTTTGAGACAGGCTCTTGATAAGTTGCCTAGGCTGGCCTTGAACTTGCAGCTCTCCTGCCTCACCATCCTAAAGAGCTGGATTACAGTTACGTGCCACAACCTGGCCTAAAATTACATTTTTGTTTAAAATAAATGTCAGTGAGAACAATACATAACAAAACTGAGGATCTACCACATCCTACACTGGGAAAATATTATAGTCTTAAATTCATTAATATGTTAAAATATAAAGGAGATTATGAATAAAGAAACTAATATAAACAAGATGTTGGAAAAAAGAACAACAAAACCCCCAAAATAATGAAAGGTAAAAGTAAAGGGAAAATAACAAACACAAAAGAGTTTTTACTCTTAAATTAATCATCACAACCTACTTTTTTGGGAAAAAAATGAATATAATTGCAATTTTGGTAAAAATAGATTAAGAATATTATGAATGAGTAAAGGTCTTTATTCTATGTTTTGAGATTTTTACAATTACATAGTATTTTGAAATTTAACATGTGCATTGTGGAAAGAGTGGTTAAATTACCAGAACTGACTCAAAAATAGTATAGTGATAGTTAGAATATAAGGAATATGAAGCAAAAATTCTTGTTTCTAAAAAAGCTGGAAAAAAATTCTTCTAGGCAACTTTTGGGCATGGTTTTTCTATCCAGTTTCTCAATCAGATCCTTTGAAAGAATACTCTGGCATTCAGTAACATTTTTTTCATGAGAAAAGAAACAAAAGATGAAAACCATCACAATATATTTTATAATTTGAGATAACTGAGTTATTTTTTTCTAAATTTCTAAGGTAGTATATAATTGCAGTGGTCAAAGTTTAAAGCATCTTATTATATTTAATATACTATATTTGTAAGGTGCACCATTTTAAATATACAGTAGTACTAATTTTAAAATTTTGCAGATTAATCTATAATAGGTAATTGAATATAAATTTAATCCCAACTTCAGAGATATTAAAATGTGGGATAAAAAGTACATTTTAGAACTAATGAAGTATGGCATTTTTATGTTTTCTTTAGATTTTCAGATTTGTTACTATACAAAAGTATATAATTATTTTTCAGTTTTCAATATCTGTATATTTATTTCCTCATAGTTCTGTTTATTGTCAAACCATTATTGCTCTAAATTTATTTGAAGGAGATATGTTTGTTTGAATTCCTGTGTCAAAAAAACCTTTCTTTTGGTTGTATTCTTTCAACTATTTGCTTTTTTGTTTTGTTTTGTTTTTGAGACAAGGTCTTGCTTTGTAGTGTAGACTGGCCTGGAACTCACTGTGTAGGCCACGGTGGCCTTGAATTCCCGGTAGTCCTCCTGAGTACTGGAATTACAGGTGTGTACAACCATGCCTATCTTTATTTGCTTTTTTATAGTTAAGTACATTTCAGTATTAATTCCTTATTTTTTATTTTGTGTATTTTTTTCCTGGTTGTTTGTTTTACAGTACTGTGATACAGGTTCACAGTAAGTCACTAAATTGCACAGACTGTGCTCAGTCTTGTAGACTTTACGTCTCATCTCCCTCAGTCTCCCAAGTAGCTGGGATTACATATGTGTACCACTGTGCTTGGCTTTTTTCCTGTTTTTTTGTTTGTTTCCATTTGTTTTAGTTTTTGAGACAGGGTCTCACTTTGTAGCCCAGGATGGCTTGGAACTCAGGGCAAGCCTCCTGCCTCAGGCTCTTTAATACTGGGATTACAGGTATGTACACCACACCCAGCTTTTTTTCTTGTCTTTTTGAATGGAATATGGGTGCTTTGGTACAATATTTTCTGTCCCTTTTCAATTGGAAACACTGGTCGGAGGACTCCCTTTGAATATTGCTCTATGGCCCATAGTGCTTTTTATTAGCATCTGGGAAATTGGGCTGATTCAAAATGTTTTGACTGTAATAAAACAGTACCAAGTAAGAAACATTTCAAAAATGTTGCATCAAAAAATGTTAATTTGGGGAGGGCAGGGACAAGGGGAAAAATGAGAACCAAGAACTGTCATGTGAAGGTACAGGGTCCCATTAATGAATGTAACTGTATTGTAGATCTAGATTGTACCAACAAACTCAATAAAAAGAAAAAAACCCGTCATAAAAAAATGTTAATTTGGGGGCTGGGGATTTAGCTCAGTGGTGCTGCCGCGTGCCTTGCAAGCGCAAGGACCCAAGTTTGATCCCCAGTACCAAAATAAATAAATAAATAAAATTTTAAAGATCACAAATATTAACTTGGAACCTATTATAGAAGGAGAAGTTCAACCACCAGGGCTATGCCCGCGCTGTCAAAAGGGGATTCACCAGATGAAAGATTGCTGTTCCAGGTATCACACGGATGGAATTCCTCTTCAGGGAAATGGAGAGAGGAGTCCAGTGACAGCCAATTCACCGACCTGGGATCAGAGGCATCTAATCTAAACCCAAGCAACAGCCAATCTTTTATCACTAAAACGGAGGTACCAAATTCAAACTCAGAAAAAAAATACTCAAACTCAGGCCCAAGTCAAAGGCTTGATGGCCTGGGTGCCAGGAGGGACATATCCTCCCTCATCTGTGAAACAGCAGGGAGCTCAAGGTTAGATCTTCTGGCTGCACAGATAGCCTGTTAGGGGGTGAAAATCCTGTATCTATTCCAACTGTGATCTATGGGCCACCCCCACAGGGAATGATTGGTTTGATAATTGGCAAGGTAAATTTAACTTTGAAAGGTTTAACGGTTAGTCCTACTTTAATTGATGCCCATGGCACTTCAGAACTGCTTATGCCTGTTTGTTCTACCGGTGTTTGAACAAAGAGATTATATTGCTCAGTCGTTGCTTATGCCTAAAGTTGAGCTGGCTAATCATTGTCATAAAGAAACAAGGGAAAATTCAGAATACCTCCTCAGGGTGAGATTTATTTTGTTCAAAAAGTTATGAGGAATAAGCCTATGTGTAAAATTAAAATTAATGGAAGGTATTTTATAGGACTAATAGATACTGCAGCAGTTGTGACTATCATCCCATCACAATTTTGGCCTAAAGATTGGGAAGTTAGACCAGCTTCTACCTCCCTGGTAGGACTAGGCTCACTATAGCAAGTGCTACAGAGTACTGCGCCACTGCCTTATGAGGGCCCAGATGGACAGGCAGGATATGTGTGCTCCTACATTGCACCATTCCAGTAAACTTATGGGGTAGAGATTTATGGAAAGGATAGAAGGTGGTAATCACAACCTTGCCTCCTGCCACATCTCCAGCCAGGCATATGATGGATAAAATGGGCTATCAGGAAGAAAAGGGATTAGGCAGGCAGCTTCAGGAACAAATGCATCCCCTAGAGCCTTAGGTAAAAAATAATTACTATGGAATTGGACATGAGTCAACTTTATAATGAGGGCCACGGCAGTTTCTCCGCCCAGGACAGCACTACCTTTACAGTGGAAATCTGACAAGCCTATCTGGGTTGATCAGTGGTCCCTTACTAAGGAGAAACAACAGATTTTAAATAAATTGGTAAGTGAACAGGGAAATAAAGGACATCTTGAGCCCTCTGTTAGTCCCTGGAACACACCAGTTTTTCTTATTCCCCCAATATCAGGAAAATGGAGGTTAATACAAGATTTGTGTGCAGTGAATGCTAGCCTCCTTCTAGGGGGAATTTTATAGCCAGGGCTCCCAAACCCAAGTGCTATTCCAGAAGAATGGCCAACAATTGCTATTGATTTCAAAGATTGCTTTTTAACATTCCTTTGTTTCCAGCAGATAGACCCCGTTTTGCTTTTTCTGTTCCAAGTATAAACTTTCAAGTTCATGAAGAGGTTTCAGTGGACAATTTTGTCATAGGGAATGGCAAATAGTTCCACACTTTGTCAGCTGTTTGTGTCCCAGGCTTTACAGGCCACTCAAAGGAAATTTCCTTAAATATAACTGATGCATTTCATGGAGGATATATTGATAACATCTGATAAAAAAGAGACTCTCGGGAAAAAATGAGAATCAAGACTTGTCATGTAGAGGTACAAGATCCCAACAATGAATGTAACTGTACTGTATCCCTAAAATATACCAATAAACTCAATTAAAGCTGAAAAAAAAAAGGAGACTCTCTTATACAGGCTTTTGCCCATGCCAAATGGGATTTACTTAAATTTGGCCTTTCTATAGCTCCTGAAAAGGTGCAATTATCTGCTCCTTATCAATATCTGGGCACTCTGGTAGCTGAAAGAACCATAAAGCCTCAAAAAATTCAAATTGATAAATTAAAAACTTTAAATGATTTTCAAAAATTGTTGGGAGATATTAATTGGCTAAGACCCAAACTGGGTATTGCAACTTTTCAGTTATAACATTTAAATAGCATATTACAAGGGGATTCAGATTTAAATTCTTCCAACAGCTTAACTGCAGAGGCACAATAAGAGCTACAGTTAATTGAGAAAAGCATTCATGATCAACAGCATTTTAGAATTAATCTAATTACCCTGTATACTTGTTTGTACTCCAGACTCATTTTCCCACAGGACTACTTGGACAGTGCTATGATAAATAAGTTTGTCCTATGGAGTGGTTATTTTTACCTAATCAATTGGTGAGGACACTACAATTGTATGTGGAACAAATTGCAAAGGTAGTTTCCATAGGATGAAATAGGGCATGTCAAATATTTGGATTTGATCCTCAATTTATAATTCTGCCATTAGATAAGGCACAAATGCAATTATTGCTACAAACTGCTGTCACCCAAAACATGCTGCAAGCAGTGCAGGATACAAAGAGTTAAATCGCTCGACTGGCTTACTTAAGAAGTGAGTCTGACTGAAGCTGTGATTCACAGAAGGATCTCATGAGCAACATGGTAGCACGCAGGTTAACATGACCTCCCTACCAATGGCCACTGCTGAGACTAGAGTAATGGCCTATGAAGCTGTGGGGTTAGTAGGTGATTACATCCACAGCTGAGGTTGGAGTAAATCACACCCAAATTCCATTCCCACAATTAGTGCCTTCATAGCTTGGAGGACAATGCTCTAATTACAACCATATATTTTGTCTGTTCTGTTCCTAATTTGAACATGCTTTGACTTCTCTGCCTACATTAGTTTCCATGCTAATTTCACATACAGCACATCCATACACATATTGCACCTTTACCCTGATTGATAAATAGTAAAATTCAGTGGAGGAGACAGGCCAGTGCCTTTTGCCAAAGAAGCACTGGCTGTCACTGTTCACACTTTCTCTTCAACTCTGTCTTAAGTATTTCTTCATCCCTGCATCGTGTACTGGGCAGGTGGGGACTAGAGACTGCAGGAGTCTCTGGCAAGGGAGGAGAAGCCAGCAAGGACAGTGAATTATGGATTAGATAGATAGAAATTTAAGAACACAATGCCATGGAAACCAAGGGTAGGACAGCTACAGGAAAGAGTAGGAGGTTGGTGATATCAAATTCATCCTTAAGATCAAAGAGGCAACTAACTGTTCAGAGACCCTTGAATTTGGCCAGGAGATCACTGGTGGACTTTCAGAGAAGAGTTCTGGCAGAAAGCACTGTAGTCTAGGAGGAGGAAAAGGTATGGAAATGGAGGGAGCTCATGGATATGTGTCAGGCATAGTGGGGTAGGACCAAGAACAAGATCAAACTTTACAATTCTATCCTGCTATGTCACCTAATCAATCTGAACCTTCGTTTGCATTTCTGAGAACAAGAATATGCTATCAGTTCATAAAGCTGTTGAAAAGTATGATTATTCTTCAATGATTACTCTTCAAGTTATAGTGAAAAAGCCTCTCCTTTCCAAAACTCTAGGTATATGGCATGTTTTCATGGAAAAGAAGAGCATTTTAGTTCAAAAGTCATAGGATAGCACATTGGTGTTGCTTTGAAAAGTTTCCATCTGTGTTCTCTGGCACTGCCAAGTCACCTTAACAATATTTCCCCCAGGCCCTCTGAGTTGAGAGCACTGAAGCAGTGGTCAGGATCAGGTGGACTCTCTCTGCAGCCAGTGTAGTGGTTGTGAAGTGAGGCTGTATTTGAGATCATGGTTACAGTCTGGTGCTAATCTCACTTTAATACAGAGATGGCCGCAGGCCCTGAGTAGATAGTAAGATAGTATAGGTTGACTGGGGCAGAGGTACCACAAACCTTCAATTTAAAAATCCATGGCACTTTCAATTCAATCCGTGGTCTGAAAGGTCTTGAACTGGTTGCTTGTTTTTCAAAGTGTGCATATACTTTTCTTTCCTTCCTTCTTTTCTCATTTGGCAACTATATACAAGCAGATCTTACCAGCACTACCTAATTTTTTCTACCTCATTAAGTACACATCAACCTTTTTCCTTTGTGAAGACTGGTCAGGTTTTCAGTTGTAGTTTAACATAACTGATCTTTGTCTTAGTGCCTTGACCTCCCCTAAAATAAAAGACATTTTCTGTGAATTTGAGTGTGATTACTCTGACCTCAGCTATTGAGTGAGACCCTGTCTCAAAAAATGAAACAGCCGGGCCTGGTGGCGCACGCCTGTAATCCCAGCTCTCAGAAGGCTGAAGCAAGAGGATTGCTGTGAGTTCGAGACCAGCCTGGGCTACACTGTGAGTTCCAGGTCAGTCAGTCATACCTACATAGTGAAACCCTGCCTCAAAAGACCAAAACCAAAACCAAAACCAAACAAAATAAAAAACAATATATAAACATATGTAATTAGAGATTGAACAGATTGTGTCAAACATTAAAAATTGGTGGGACTGGGGATTTAGCTCAGTGGTTACACTGCCTGTCTTGCAAGTGCAAGGACCCAAGTTCAATCCTTGGTACCAAAAACAAACAAAAAACTGGTGACTTTAGTCAAAGGATTATATAATGTACATCATTATACTATTCTTCTAAGTTTTCTATAACTTTAGAATTTAGGAAAAATACTCATGGAAAAATATGAGAGTACCCTACTTTCCTGAGATCACTGAATAAATGCCTAATATATAGGTGCCAGTAAAAAGCTAATGTAATTGAAGGTCAAAATCATTTGCCAACATCAACAAAGACTTTCATAGAAAACAATCCAGCACCAGGAAAGAGACAATACTTACCAAGGCTGCTTATGGGCAGCTACTGTCACAGAGATAAATCCAGAATCCAGTTGCTGGGCTGAAGGGAGCACTAATCCTTACCAATCTGCAAGGTCAAAATGAGTATAATGCCATAAATCTGGAACAGATAATTCATACATACAAGTGAGGTACAGCAGGCTGATGAAAAACTGTTAAATATTATTCCTTTCTGTAATCTAAGAGGTAAGCCGTGTGTGTGTGTGTGTGTGTGTGTGTGTGTGTGATTTGTATCTGCTTCCACAGTTTAGAATCCTTGCTTCACTTCCTTGCTCCAAAATATTTGAGGCCTCCTCTTTTGAATTTTAAAGTTAAAATATATGAGCAATGTGTTTTCTTGTGAGGGGATTGAGAATTAAATTCTCTTTGACACTTAAGCTTTCCATCCTTACTCTAAGTCCTCTTCTCTTGTCCCTAAGGTTACCAGTGACAGGAATTGATGTATGTTCCTCTATAAGATGTACTACTTTGATACTAACTGTACCACATGGTATGCTAAAAAAAAGTCCTAGTTCCTGCAGTCTGTATTTATAATGGTTTTAATTTGGGGGGATTAAACTACTTCTTTGTGAATCTGATAAACTAATTATCTCAGATTAAGAATTCCTGATTTTCTTAGTTTTGGGGGGGGGTACCAGGGATTGAACTCAGGTCCTTTGTGCTTGCGAGGCAGGCAGCAGAACCAATGAGCTAAATCCCCAGCCCTCTTTTTTTTTTTTTTTCACTTTTAAATGCTTTTTTTTGCAAGTATTCATCCTCATTCCTGAAAAGCCAAAAGATAACTCAGAATCACACAGATGTAGCTGGAGATCAATGCACGCTGTCCAAATTGAGACTAGAACATCTATCCTATTGAAGAAAAACCCCAATCTACATCTCCCATATACAATGTCATAATTAGTCCTATAGTTTGACTTATTCTGTGTCAGTGTACTTTATCTTATTTCACATAGCTATTCCTGATACACACACACATACACACACACACACACACACACACACTCAGCAATCCTAGTCAGCAAAATTGCTACTCCAGTAACATTACTAGGAAGAGAACAAAAACGGGGATGTGGTCCTGAATGTCAGAGCAAGTTTTATTAGTCTTTCTTCCCTCTGAAGGAGTATGAAATTAAAATTCTATCTATTCATATGCTGGAAGCTCTTAAATTTGTGATTATTTTAAAAAGGTAATGAAGTAAAGACAAGTTCAGGCTTACTTTCAGGCTTATAGTACAACCTCAAGTCCCTTTCTCTTTCTGAACCAAGGTTCACTTATCAGACAGTGAGGACAAATGTTTGACAAAGATTTCAGGAAATCTGACGAATGCTATTTCCTACTAAAACTCATTATTCCGATGTATAAAGGTGTTTTATTATCAAGGGTCTCTCAACTTTATCCAGTAGTGTTCCCCCAATAATAGAAAACAATGAATGTCTACTTCTGCGGTACTGTGGCAGAGGAAAAAGAAGTTACTCTAGGACTGGCTTTGTAATCATCAAAAAAGCTTTTCATTCTTTCCCATTGAACACATACTTGTTCTACTAGAAAAATCATAGCTAAATTACTTTTTACATAAATTGATCGCTTTTCCGAAATCATCAAATTAGTATTCAAGGAAGAAATAATGTGTCCATAATTTTTTCATTGGCATACACGGCCTCGTTTGCTAGTTGAATTCACACAACCTGAAATACAAGCAAAGAAAAGCACATGTATGTATAACACAAACCATTATCACCAGCTACTCAATTATGGACATAAAACCAAAAATACAGAGACCTTTCATAAACAAACCACTACAGCAGAGGCATCTGTTAGACAATCCAATAGTTATTTCTTCTTTCCCCCCACTCCTTTCCCCCAGGGCCTTCAGCTACATTACTGCCTTTTCTTTTCTGTTCTTTTTGAGACAGCTCAGGCTGGGCTCGACCTTGAGTCCTGCTGTCTCTGCCTCCCAGAGTGCCGAGATCACAGGCAAGCGCCACAACACCAGGCTTCGCAGTTACAAAGTCCTATTGCAGCTCCAAGTGTGAATCACCTCACACCCAACAGCACAAGGAATAACACAGGCAGAAAAGACTTGCAGTCCTGCCCTGTGGCGGCCACCTACGTACACACATACACTCCCAAGGACCCACGAGGCACACAGAGGGTCCCAAGTAAATGTGTGGTTCGGGGAGGTCTTCTGACCCAGCTCCGACACCTCCACTGCACCTGCCTAGGTACAGACCCCCAGACCACACATCACACTTTGTCACATCTCAACACATCGAACTGAGTGCCCAACGTCTGCGCTCTGATGGTCAGCGGAAAATCCAAGAAGCACACGCGGCGGGGAGGTGGCGGCCAATAGTTTCCAAAACTGAGACCACGAACCCAGCCGAGGGCGAATGGATTGCGCCTCCTAGCTTCCTGGCGGACCAGGTAAACGCCCTTCCCTGGCTGGACTACATCTCCCAGAGGCACCGCGTCCGGGATACCGCTTCATTTTCGACTCTTCGCGAGAGTTGGGGTCTTCGCGTTGGGAGAGGGCCGGAGTCTGTGGAGTACCTTGTTCGCCACCCGCTGGGCGGGCGAACCCAATATCGGGTTTAGAACTCGGGCGGCTGGTCCTGGGTCCCGAACTGTGCTTCTGTTGAAGTAAGGGTGTCAGGACTGTCAGAGCTGAAACGCGCGGGGGAAGAGTCGCTGGGAGTGTACGGCCGTGTCTCCTGCGGTTTTGTGCGCCTGACTGGTCTTGGTGACAGTGTGGACAGCCAGCCGGGTATGTGCGACGGTGGTCTGTGTGTGACTCTGACGGTGTGTGTGAGACTGTGTACTTACCTGACAGGAGTTAGGCTTATTTCTATGATTGTTTGAGTACCACGTGTGTGACGGGTTTGTTTGCGACTGGAGACAAGGCTGTTGTGACAGAGTGTTGGGATGTGCCTGTGTCACTTTGAGGTTGTATAGGTGCCTGGTATCCTCTGTGGAACGGGCTTGCCTTGTGAAGTTGATACGTACGGCTGTTACTGAAACAGTTTGTGACTGCTCTTTCTTTCCCTTGTGTTTTTTTTCTGCCTATCTGGGTGACTGATAATAGGTGCGCCTTGTGTGTGACTGTAGGATTGTGACGTTTTCAGGAATGTATGAAGAGAGTAAAAGCTTCGTTGAGAAAGGGTGTTTGGGGCGATGTGCGTCCCAAGCAAAATGCTTGGATATGTTGGTTTATTCCCTGTGTACAATTGGATTTTATTTATGACTAGATGCTCAGTAGCCTAGCTGATGGTTATGACTCTGGTTAAGTGTGGAAATGTGATTTTGTTTGACTTTGTGTGGAATTTGTATACTTGTACTCTGTGATCTTATTATGATACAGAAGTAAAATTGTTTGGTATTTCTAAGGGTTCATTCTGAGGCTGAGTCTTTGTATGGATCGTGAATCCTGTATGTTTTATGTTTCGTTGACGACTCTGGGGGTTGAGTTCTGTGTTGACCATTCACACATGGCCTGTGTTGCTTCATTTCTGTATATATCTCAGTTCACTTTAGAATTGTGGTTGTATAATTCCCGCTGCATCCCAGTGCTCTTACCTCAATACCCTTTACGAAACTGGATGCAAAGAAGTGGCAAGAAGGAAATCAGAAATTTAAGCCTCTGAGTGAGGAAAAGGAGTCATCTTCAAGCCCCAAAGCAAGTCTTGAGATTTTTAGAGCTGATAATCACTTTCAAGACAGGCTACTTGGAAATGTGATGGGTTCCAGTAGTAGAAAAACTTGGAAAGGAAATACTATAGGAGCCAACCACACTCTTTAGAGCATGTAACTCTGCACTGCAGAGCTCTGTCTCCAGTAAACATCTTTGAATCCAGAAATAAAATTTATCTCAAGGCAGCCTAACCATACCGCTTCCTAATAGAATATATGACTGTACAAGTCTCCTGATCTTTAAGTTAAATGAGGGGTACGTTATAGGCATGAAGGGAGAGTTTGTGTTCTAATTAAGAGTATATGCCAAGAAAGGCTTAGTTATGTCGTTTCATTTTCTTTTTCTGAGAGTAGAGCTGAGAGGAGGAAAGAATGGCTGTTGCACATTCAAAAACAAAGTTCAAGGTAAGTAGATATTTCTCTTCCTTTACTGAACTGCCTTTGTATTTTCAGGATATTGTAATCTTTCTTTTTGAAATTTCCCAAGTCTTCTTAGATGACTTAGAGGGACAAGGTGACTTTGTGTAGATTGAGAGCAAGAAAAATGCAGTTGATTGTCATAGATGCTTTCTGATAATGGTTTTAGAAGGAATAGATTTGATATTTATGGATTTGCAAATGATAGCTCTTTTATTTCAACACAACATTCTTTGCTTAACTTTTTTGGTTTTTTAGCTTTTGGTGAAGATTCTTAAATGTGTACAAAACAATAATGAATCATTGTAGGCCTAGATCAAAAAATTATCACTCGATATTCTTCATAGCCTTCTTCCTTTGGTTCTTGGCTCATGGGCAATTTTTATGTGTGCTATTTCATTTTCAAATATTTTGAGGATCATCCCAAGATCTTTTGTTGCCAATTTCTAATTATATTCCATTGTGTTCAGATAATACATTTGTAAACCTAAATCCTTTGAAAATTTTCTAAAATTTGGTGCATCTTAGTAAATGTTTTGTGCGTCTTTGAAAAAACTGTTATTGGCTGATGTTGGATGGAGTGCTGTATAAAAATCAGCTAGGTTTGTAGATTTATTGTGATTAAATCTTATGTAACTTTACTGATTTTTCTGTTTAACTATTGGATTTGTCTCTTTCTCCTTATTGTTTCTATCAGTGTCTGCTTCATGTATTATGAAGCTTAGTTACTAGGTACTTATGTGCTTTAGATTTATGTCCCAGTGGTAAATTGGTCCCTTTATCTTTATAAAATTATCTTCTTTATCCCTGATAATATTTTTTGTTCTGAACATATGCTTTGATTGATATTTAGTCATTCCAGCTTTCTTTTCATTAGTATTAGGTATGTATATCTTTTTATGCTCTTGTACGTCTAACCTATTTGTGTTTTGATATTTCAAGTGCATTTTTTGAAGACAAAATATAGTTGAGTTTTATCAGGGGTTTAGCTCAATGGTGCTGTCATAAGCCTTGCAAGCACAAGGCCCCGAGTTTGATCCCCCTTAAAAAAAATGTATATATTGTTGAGTTTTGCGTTTTTATCTAATTTTGCAATCTGAGTGTTTTAATCAGTATTTAGCCATTTATGTTTAGTGTGATTTTTGATATGGTTCATCATTTTGCTATTTGCTTTATATTTACCTCATTTTTCCTTTGTTGTCTTTTCCATCTTTTCTGCCTTCTTTTGTAGTTGTTGAAAGATAAGGAATTTCAAAACAACAATACCCATGTGAATACAGAAAAGCCATCAAGACTACTTGGAACTGAATAGGATGGAACTCAGTAGGGATATATAATCAAATGATTATTTTTTGGGTTTTGTGTGTGTGTGTGTGTGTGTGTGTACTTGGAATTGAACTCGGGTCCTTGTACTTGTGAGGCAGGCAGCAGGGGCACCACTGAGCTAAATTCCCAGCCCTCAAATGATTATTTTTAATGTCAATTTAAATAATACCTGTCATATGGGTAAGCTACTAACCGAAGATACAGGCTACTTTATTTTGCTTTCCTCTTGTTTTGTTTTTTTGTTTTGTTTTGGTTATTTGGTAGTATTGAGTAACTCAAGGGCAGTATACTTTTGAGCTTGTATTTTGAGACAAGGTCTCATTAAATTGCCCAAGCTAACAAGGAACCTGCAGTCCTTCTGCCTCATGGTCTAAGTAGCTGGGATTATAGGCATGAGCTCTTGTGCCTGACTTGCCTTCTACTTTTAAGGATTGTTTTCCTCCCACTCTGATTTAATTTTGTTTTAAAATTATGTAATACATTTACATATTTCCAGAATCAAAGTTATAGATGATGAATTCCAAATGTGTGGTGTCTATTCCTCCCTCTCCACCCTGCTTACTTCAATTCCTTAATAATTATATCATATATATGGATGTGTATGTATACAGTTTTTATTCTTTTTAACACATCTAATATATTCCTAGAAATTCCTCCATAGCATGTATGTTCTTTTGCTTAGGAGTCATAATTTATTTAGCTAGACTTATGGATAGTCATTTGTTTTTTTTCCAGCATTTTGACATTGCATAATACAGCAATCAGTAATTGAATATATGACTTTTTTATTTGTGGAGTTTATCTTTAGGGAAAATATAGATGTGGCCTACTTTTTAGTTGATTTTAATACTTTTGACATTTGTTTTACTCAAATTCTGAGAAATTATAAAATTACATTTCTTCACTTATTTTTTTCCCTATCTTTTCCTCCATTACCCAATTTTTAGGAAATTGTCTTAGAATTTATATTGTTAAGCATTCTTTTCCTCCACATTGAATGAGAATCTCCCTGTCCTTCCCACTGTCCTCATTTATTTTTTTTATGTTGAGGATAGAACCCAGGTCTTTGTGTTGTGGCAGAGAGGAGCAGCTCTGTGCTATAGCCAAATGTTACAGCTCAGTATCACAGCTAAGTGCCACAGCTCAAAGGCACAGCTGAGAACAGTTCAGTGTTGCAGCTAAGTGCCACTGCTCAGAGGTGTGGCTGTTACAGCTCTGAGTTGTAGCCAAGTGCCACAGCTCAGATGGTACAGCTGAGTTTTACATCTCAGTGTGGCAGCTTTGGGGCGCCACTCTGAGAAACAACTGAGCTTTACAGCTCAGTGTGGCAGCTCTGGCACAGCTCTCATTGTTTGAAGACTCAAGAATCTGATGGTCAGCTGAAGAGGTGGAGAAAAATCTTTTATTATGTGGTGAGCCCCAGCAGGCTCAGAGGAGTCTGAGCACTCTACCAGAAAAGAGAGCCTCCTTATATAGGGATTTACAGGGTAGGAGACCATGCTCAATGAAGCAAGGGGGTGGAGTTACAGAACATTCCTGAGAGGGGGCGGAGCTTAACAGAACATTTCTGAAGGGTCACAGAGTTGAAACAGCCACACATTATTTTGATACATTGGGCATGAGGCCAGCAACACAAACTTACATTTCCAAAACAAAACATTTTGTGAGAAAAAAAAAATGGAGGCAAGGCAAGGGTGTGTCTTACTGTATAGCACTTTTCTATCATTTGGACATGCAAAGAATGCATTCTACCAATGAACTGTATCTCCAGCCTAAGAATCTCTTTTTTACAAACTGTTGCATGCCCTTGTTTATGATTTCAAAAAGGTATCATTTGTTTTCTGATATCAACTATCTTAGTTACTTTCTCAATGCTGAGACAAAATACCTGACACCCAAAAATTACAGGTGAAAAGATTTATTCTGGCTCACAGTTTGTAGATATTTCAGTCCATAATCAGCTGGCTTTAAGGAACGACTGCATGGCAGAGGGATACGGTGGTGGCAGGAAGCAGAGAATAATTAAGACAGAAGGGAGAGAGGCCGTGCTTCTAGTGACCCACCTCCTCTGACCAGACTTCTCTCCCAACATCACATTTAGCTATAAACTCATCAGTGGACTTATCCTGTGATGAGTGTCACACACCACCCATAAGCCAGTCACCTCCCAAAAGCTCCTCCTATGAGCACATAAGGCTTTGGGGAAACATCCAAATATACCATAAGATCAATGTTACTACATGTTTGTTAGTATAATTTAGAAAACAAAAAGAAAGACCTGACAAATTAACAATTACTGAAAAACTGTTCTCTAGAATATAATTTTTCATATGTGGAATCTCAGGGTTTTTAAAAAACTTTTTAATGAAAAAAATTAAAGTATTTACAAAAGTAAAAAATACAGCGTGATGCATCCCCATGTAATTTTCCCATCATTTCACTTCAACAAATATCATTTTATGGCTAAACGTGGTTTTATCTGTAGCGGCACTCCTCCTGCCATCCCTTCAAAACAAAATGGTTATCTTGAGGAAAATTCCAGATAATATAATTTCATCCGTAAATATTTTAATACATGTCTGAAAGACAAAACTTGTTAGTTAAAATATATAACCTTATCATCACTACTAAAAAGAAAAAAACTTAATACTCTTTTAATGTCATGAAAAGGCCAATCAGGGTTCAAATTTCCCCATTGCCCATAGATATTTTTACATTTTATTAAGATCAACAACCAATGTCTATTATTTGTTTTATTTTGTTTTTTTGTTACCAGGAATCAAACTCGGGACCTTGCACTTGTGAGGCAGGCAGCAGAACCACTGAGCTAAATCCCTGGGCCAATGTCTATTATAATTGTGTAATATTTTTCTTTAATTTATAAAAAAATCTATAAGTTCTTCCACTGTTTCTTTCTTATAGTTTTTGTTCAGGGAAGAGTTCCTCTGTAGAGTTACCAATATTCTGGATTTTGTTGATTGCTTCGCTCTGGTGTCTTTAAATGTTTTTCCAACCCTGCATTTCTTGTAAATAGTTGTGTGAGTATTATAGAGGCTTGATCGGATTCAGGTTTTTGTTCATTTTACACTAACCCTTTGTACACGGTGATGTACTTCTATAGTGTGGCATGCTGCATAGTCCTTTCTTTCTCCCTTCCTTCCGCCCTCCCCACTTCCTCCCCCTGACAGGGTCTTACTATGTATTTCAGGTTACCCTTGAACTCACTTAGGTGAGGCTGGCCTCCAACTCACAGTGCTCCTTCTGCCTCAGTCTTTCTAGAGCTACAGTTACAGGTGTATACCACCACACCAAGCTTGTTTGTTTTCTTAAATGTGGTGTTAGTAGCTGTTGATATATTTACTTGATGCTGGGTTATTTTATCAGGGTGTACAAAATTATCTTCCAATTCTGTCATTTCTTTTGCATTTATTACCAGGGATACTTTTATAAAGAAAACCGTCCTTTAAATCAAGCTGTAAACCACCTTCTTCGGGTAGGATCCTAGATCATTGATCTTTCACCTCTTTTTTTTAAATACAGTATAAATATTTAAAACTGTAACCTGTCCTCTAAATATTGCTTTTGCTGAAGGCTACAAAATTTGTTATGTTATTTGGTTCGATGTACTTTCAAATAAGCTTTATGATTTTTTTTTTTAGTTTTATGATTTTTTTGACCCATGACTTAATATAGAAGTGTTTAATTTCCAAATATTGGGGATTTTTATAGACCTCTTACTGTTTTATAATTTATAATTTAATATATGGAAAAAGAACAGAGAATATACTCTGCATGACTCCATTTTACAACTATTTATTGACTTGAAGTCAAGGAGTCAGGCCCTTTTGGCCAGTCATGTTCTTAAGCATATCTGCATTTAGAAATGCAGGCATCTTCTTTAGGAGGCCTATTTATTAGACACCACTGCCAAGACATCCTTATGGAGGGAAAGGGGTAATACCTTGAAGACACTTTGTCTCTTCTGTAAACTCAAAACTTTTCTACTTCTTGCCCTTCCTCCATCTTCCTCTTCCTTGATGCTGTCTATAAAATGGCAGGAGCCATTTGTTTATTGCTCCCTTGGCAATACTGTTCCATTGGGAAAAATTGAACAGTGGTGGGATAAGTGCTTCCTCTGGGTTAGCCTCTTGTTTCTACTAAATGATTAGTAAATGTTTAAAGGTTTGACTGCTGGGCATGGTGGCATAAGCCTGTAATACTAGCACTTGAAAGGCTAAGACAGGATCACTATGATTTCAAGGACATGCCAGCCCGACTACATCTTGTTTCAAACAAACAAACAAAAATTATTAAAGGGGCTAAGGCTGTAGTTCACTGTGAAGGTCCTGGGTTTAATCTTTAGTTTAAAAATACTCTCTTTTGGGCCGGGGATTTGGCTTAGTGGTTCTGCTGCCTGCCTTGCAAGTACAAGGGCCAGAGTTCGATCCCCGGTACCA